GTGACTGAAGGAAACTCAGAATTCACGTTTATTGACAGGGCACCATCTCAGTCTCTGTGCAAAAGACATTTGTTTTAATGGGTAAGAGATAAGAAAATGTCTCTTCACAAAATGCTGTGAAGCAGTAGGCCTAATGTAGGCTTGTGGAATAACACTTGCTGGATTATTTAGCAGATTAAAAGATTATTTAATAAACTCTGCTACTCTTTCTATTATCGCTTCATCTCCTGATTCTCTTCTCTGGCTTTCTCTGTCAACTTCGTGGGTGATACAAGACTGTTTGGGAATCACACAGTAGCAGTGATTAGAGGTATTATTTACTCTTTTTTTTTTTTCTCTATTTTCTCACTTGTTTGTGACAAGTGAATGATGAAGTTGACAGAAATGTGTGTGTTTGTTTGTAAAATTGGTAATAAATCTGACATGAACAGTTGGATTTGATAACTTTCTTAAAATGTTGTTAATAGATTTACACTCTTGAAGTTTCCTTTGTACTTCTAATTCTATTATACAGTGCATCCGGAAAGTATTCATAACGCTTCACCTTTTTTGTTACAGCTTTATTCCAAAATGAATTGATTTGTTTCCTCAAAATACTACACACAATACGCCATAATGACAATGTGAAAATATATATTTTAAAATTGTTGCAATTTTATTAAAAATAAAAAACCTAAAAAAATCACATGTACATCAGTATTCACAGCCTTTGCTCAATACTTTGTTGATGCACCTTTGGTGGCAATTACAGCCTCAAGTCTTTTTAAATATGATGCCACAAGCTTGGCACACCTGTCTTTGGGAATTTTTGCCCATTCCTCTTTGCATTACCTCTCAACCTCTATCAGGTTGTATGGGAAGCAACGGTGTCCATCCATTTTCAGATCTCTCCAGAGATGTTCAATAGGATTTAGATCTGGGCTCTGGCTTGGCCACTCAAGCACATTCACCGAGTTGATGTGAAGCCACTCCATTGATATTTTTCCGGTGTGCTTTGGGTCGTTGTCCTGCTGGAAGATGAATTGTGGCCCCAGTCTGAGGTCAAGAGCACTCTGAAGCAGGTTTTCATTCAGGATGTCTTTGTACATTGCTGCATTCATTTTTGCCTCTCTCCTGACTAGTCTTCCAGTTCCTGCTGCTGAAAAACATCTCCACAGCCTGATGCTGCCACCACCATGCTTCCCTATAGGTATGGTATTAGCCTGGTGATGAGCGATGCCTGGTTTTCTCCAAACATAACGCCTGCCATTCACTCCAAAGAGTTAAATTTTAGTCTCATAGGACCAGAGAATTTAGTTTTTTTATGGTCTGAGAGTCCTGCAGATGCTTTTGACAAATTCCAGGTGGGGAGTGTCTTCTGTCTGGCCACTCTGCATACAGGCCTGATTGGTGGGTTGCTGCACAGATGGTTATCTTTCTGTAAGGTTCTCCTCTTTCCACAGAAGAACGCTGGAGCTCAGACAGAGTGACCATCGAGTTATTGATCACCTTCCTGACTAAGACCCTTTTCCCCTGATCACTCAGCTTAGATGGCCGGCCAGCTCTAGGAAGAGTCCTGGTGGTTCCACTTGTAGAACATCTTCCACTTGTAGATGATGGAGGCCACTGTGCAACTTTCAGAGCAGCAGAAATGTTGTTGTAACCTTCCCCAGCCTTGTGCCTTGAGACAATCCTGTCTCGGAGGTCTACAGACAATTTCTTTGTCTTCATGCTTGGTTTGTGCTTTAACATGCACTGTCAACCCTGGGACCTTATATAGACAGGTGTATACCACAGGTGAACTGCTGAAGCATCTCAAGAATGATCAGTGGAAACAGAATGTACCTGAGCTCAATTTAGAGCTTCACGGCAAAGTCTGCAAATACTGATGTACATGTGATTTTTCAGGTTTTTTATTTTTAATAAAAATTTAAGGTTTAGCAAATTTGCAACAATTTCAATGTCATTATTGGGAAATTGTGTGTAGAATTTTAAGGAATTTAATAAATTTAATCCATTTTGGAATAAGGCTGTAGCATAAAAAAATGTGGAAAAAGTGAAGCGCTATCAATACATTCAGGATGCATGCACTGTACAATGATTTATAACTTGTGCACAGAAAATGCTTTTTAAAAGCGGAAAAGGATTTATTAGATCAAAATGCTTTAAAATATTTACTAATATTTTTATATTAGTATTTAATATTTAATATAGTATTTAATATTTTATATAATATTTAATATTTACTAGTTACTAACAATATATATATATATATATATATATATTAAGAACTATTTCCAAAAAGATTGTTTTAAGAACCATAAATAGTTGTTAAATGACATAGTGCTGTAAGAAATAAAAAAACTAACATTATATTTTTGGCAGTTTTTATTTTTGGGTGTTGTAAAACACCACATTTTACTGTTTAAGCTGTTTAAGACATTTTATATATTTGTTCAGTTTAAGTGATTTGGTATCCTATTTGTAGAAAGTGTCTGCCTTGGGACAGAGCAGAACAATTTAATTGTAGTAATTTTAGAGAGAGCACTGACAACAGTTCAATATGTCAAGTTCTTAAAGTACAGACTCATGACAGACTAATTAAATGCAGTATTAAAGAAGTGCAGTTTCTATAAATATAAAGAACCTCAAGACAAGATTTCTGACCCTCCCTACACACTTGTCTTTCTAAATCTTTAAATGACCAAGATTATCCTTTTTCTGTAATTCATCTAATGAATGACCTAGTGATTTTAACCATAATAGACTAATAGATTACAGCACACTGTAATGTTGAAGCACGTTTTCAGACTTGTTTACCTTTAATGTAGAGCATACATTAGAGTTCTATTTTTAATCCAGAATTAATCCAGTTGTTACTCTAATGAAAAATATGAGTAACATGTTACAGTACGGTTGTATTAGTTAATGTTAGTTGAATGCATGAACAAACGATGAACAAAATATTTATTAAAGTATTTTTTTATATTAGTTAACAATAGTTGACTCAGAGCCAATTACCTATTGTTAACAAGCATGAATTTGAACCATGCATCAGTATTTGTTGAACTATGATTATTACATGCTTTACTAGAATTACTCATTACTGGTTATTGTTAGTAAATAATGAAACTTTACTTACACTACAGGACAAAAGCCTTGTCTCCTATCCAAGTTTTAGAAACAACAATAACTTGACTTCTAGTTGATCATTGGGTATCAGAAATTTATTACCAAAATAAAATATGAGCATGCCTTGATTTTTGATTATTTAATTAGAACAGTAGGTCTGACTTTGCTTAGACAAAAGTCTTGACACTTAACAGAAATAATGTTCACTCTCAAGAAATAAAGGTACAGGAGCTGTCACAGGAGCAGTATCTTTTCACAAAATACATATTTGTACCCAAGGAGTCCACACTGGTACCTCAAAGGTACATATTACTGCCTAAATGTACCTTAAAAAGGTACCATTATGGACACTTCGGGTACAAATATGTACCTTTCGAAAAGGTACCGCCCCAGTAACAGCTCCTGTACATTTATTTGTACCAAAATCACTGTACATTACTGTGAACCAGCTCACTGTGTGAATTCACACACAGTATTTTACTATGAGGCGAGGCAGTGGCGCAGTATGTAGTGCTGTCGCCTCACAGCAAGAAGGTCGCTGGTTCGAACCTTGGCACAGTTGGTGTTTCTGTGTGGAGTTTGCATGTTCTCCCTGCCTTCGCATGGGTTTCCTCCGGGTGCTCCGGTTTCCCCCACAGTCCAAAGACATGCGGTACAGGTGAATTGGGTAAGCTAAATTGTCCATAGTGTATGAGTGTGTGTGTGTGTGTGGATGTTTCCCAGAGATGGGTTGTGGCTGGAAGGGGATCGGCTGCGTAAAACACTTGCTGGATAAGTTGGCGGTTTATTCCGCTGCGACGACCCCAGATTAGTAAAGGGACAAAGCCGACAAGAAAATGAATGAATGGATTTTACAATGAAAATAATGCAATATAGCCTATAATTTACTGTACATTTAAGATCAATTTTTTTTACAGTGTGTCTGACTCCCATGAGCTTGGACGACTGCTTCTATACATCTCTGCAACGACTAAAATAACTTATTATGAAGTCATCTGGGATGGGAAAGAAAGCGACTCCCAGAGTTCATCAAGATTCTTTGAATTAATCTTCAATGCCTCCTCCATCTTACCCCTGACATGCTCAATAATGTTCATTTCTGGTGACTGGGCTGGCCAATCCTGGAGTACCTTGACCTCTGAACTTTGATGTGGAGGCTGAAGTATGAGAAGGAGCGCTATCCTGCTGAAGAATTTGCCCTCTCCTGTGGTTTGTAATGTAACGGGCAGCACAAATGTCTTGATGCCTCAGGCTGTTGATGTTGCCATACACTCTGCAGATCTTTCGCACGCCCCATACTGAATGCAACCCCAAACCATGATTTTTCTTTCACCAAACTTGACTGATTTCTGTGAGAATCTTGGGTCTATACGGGTTCCAGGTCTTCTGCAGAATTTGTGATGATTGGGATGCAGTTCAACAAATGATTCAGCAGAAAAATCGACCTTCTGACACTTTTCCAAATGATCAACTGGGATGGACCATGGACGACAAGAATTTTGTCAGGTAGTGTATTTCAAAGTGGGATCAAATAATGAAAATTTCGTTCTTATAAATGAAATCTATATTAACTCTTATGATATAACTTAAACAATCACCTCTGACAGGAAAGTAGCGATCATGTATTCCCCCCTTTAAAATGGTTAAACTGATGATTTCACAACAAACCCTCTGGCCTCATGAATGCATTATTACTGTAAGGGTTATTGCAGAGGGAATAAACACAACTCTCTCCAGTAGGTGGAACATTTTCTTTCAGGAGCAGAGGAAGAGGAGCAGGGGAGGGGTGAGAATAAAAAAAGCATCGTCATACAACATTCATTCACATTAAATATTCATCAGTCTTAACCAAGTCACGCGGCGACCGTGCATGGATATATATTGAGCCCACTAAAAGACATGCATGCAAAGTTGCTAGAAACTACTACAAACTTATGTATGCTAACATATGAGTCTAATACATCTGACGATTAGTTATGTCTCTGCAGGACAGTGACGCATCCCGGCAGGTCCGTCCTTCAGCCCGGCTCTTGGTCTCACGTCACGTAGGTTTTGGGCGGACCCAGCGTTCCGTGGGGTCCATGACGACCCGTATAGTGGAGGAGAAGGGGACCGCCTAAAAACAGACGCTTTTATTGGACACACAGTGTTGCTAGGTGCTGCAGGATGTCCGTAAGTGAGCATCAGCACTGGAACTATGAACGCTGTAATATAACCAGGGAGCAATCTTTAGGGAGGTGTCGGTGTGCCGTATTATCCGAGATGAGGAGAGCATTGCCGCAGTGAGCAAATAATCTCATCAACTGGCTGTGGATTTCATGTCCCTTACAGACACTGACATTTATAAGAAGCAAGAAGGGTACTCGGCTTTGAAGCGGTTATGCGCGTGCTCGGTGAAAGTAGACGTCGGAGAGATCGTTCAACACAATGGTAATTCAAAAGGCAGATGCGCACTTTATAGTTTTGTGACGGATTGAACAACGTGACAAGCCCTGTCACCAGCCCGGCATGGTGAGTTTGATTCTGATATTAGTTTCGTAGTGAATAACAATGTTTTTAAATTGTTTTGAAGTAGCTGCACGTTTGCGCTATGCGTTTCTGATGTAAGGGAGCGTGCGTCGTACTTAAAAAAAGAAGTGATGTGTGAAATATTTGTGCGTCTTTCATTTTGACTTTGTTTCTAATTGTATAAATAGTTGATTATAATTAATGTTAGCTTTTATATGTAAACGAGGATTCTGGCGGTGGGTCCTCAAATGATGCCGAACTGCGTCAGTACACACTGTCATTGCAGGTATGGCAAACAGTTTTAACATTTATTATTTTTAAATTAAGTGACTATTATAGATCTAGTTTTATTTTCGCATGCCTTATTAATTTAATAAAGACAAGCATCTTTTTAATTTCACTATACCCTTACTATTCTTTAATTCCAGTATAGTGAATAACATCTTCTATATACACTGTATATGCTGGGTTCCACACAATTCCTTTATGTTGTCCCAACACAAATCGATTAAGCTAACTTAATCGTCTAATATTAAGTGGACTGAACATGAAATAATTAAGTTGTCCCCCCCCCCCAAAAAAAATTAGGAATTGTGTTGTTTCAACTTATTTTAATATGTAGTTTAAACGTGCAGCAAAGACATTGTTTTAGTGTACACCAGTAGTGGCTATTTAATCATTCACTTGTAATTGTTACTTTGTAAAATGAACTTTTCAGACATAATAATTGTCCCGTTGCTTGTAATATTTCAAGTTTTATAACTGCTATCCAGTAGTCAGTTTAACTAGTAAAAATTGTAGTGTAGGGTATAAAGTAGCCATTGTGTCATATGAAAAAATCGTAAAATGGTTTTAACATTACTTCAATTTACAGTTGAAGTCAGAATTATTCGCCCCCCTGAATTATTAGCCCCTGTTAATTTTTTCCCCCCAATTTCTGTTTGATGGAGTGCAGATTTTTTCAACACATTTCTAAACATAATAGTTTTAATAACTCATCTCTAATAACTGATTTATTTTATCTTTGCCATGATGACAGTAAATAATATTTTACTTGATATTTTTGTAGACACTTCTATACAGCTTAAAGTGACATTTAAAGGCTTAACTAGGTTAATTAGGTTAACTAGGCAGGTTAGGGTAATTAGGCGAGTTATTGTATAACGATGGTTTGTTCTGTAGACTATCGAAAAAATATATAGCTCAAAGGGTTAATAATTTTGAACTCAAAAAGTTTTCAACTGTAAATACTGTATGTGTGTGTTTCAGGGTTAGATATTAACTTTTCCATTACTGTTGTAGACAACAAGGGCATTTTTTTTCAGTTTTATTATGATAGGACAAGAGAGAGAGAGAGGGAAAGGATCGGATAAGGACCTTGAGCCGGGAATCAGTTGTCGTGATCACGTTGGTTCTATATGTCAGCGTACAGTTTTTAACAATAATAATCAGTCTCTCTGCTGTTGGAAGGGCATCCACTGTGTAAAGCACATGCCAGAGTAGTTGGTGGTTCATTCCGCTGTGGCGACCCCTGATAAATCAGAGATTAGGTCGAAGAAAAATGAATGAATAAATCAGTCTCTCCAGGATTTGTGAGTCCAATGGCTTTTGAGAACAAAAATATAATTATTTTACAAGATTTTTGTGTATCTTTAAAGCAGAACTCAAAAACAGAAACAAATAATGCTATAAATCTTGAGAAAAGCCTTCACAAAATCTATCATAATCTAGAAAAATGTCCCTGTAAATTCCTGTAGGGACTTTATTCTTTCATGTTAATAATTCTGAAAACTTTATCAATAAAACAATAACAATTATACACAGTTTACACACAAAAATAATTGCTCTTGATATCAAAAAAAAATTACTTAAGAGCTATGTGTGTAAAGAAAGATTTATCTGGCTTTACATATGATCATATTGGTCCATTTTAGTATTTTAAGCATATATAAGTTTAACAAAACTGTTTTATAATAACTAAAGCTGCAAAATATTTTTCGACAAGGTGGCTCAGTGGTTAGCTCTGTCACCTCACAGCAAGAATGTCACTGGTTCAAGTCCTGGCTGGATCAGTGAGGCGTGGGTTTCCTCCGGGTGCTCTGGTTTTCCTCACAATACAAAGACATGCGCTAGAGGTGAACCGAATTAACTAAATCGGCTGTAGTGTATGTGTGTGCATGTGAGTGTGTATGGGTGTTTCCCAGTTCTGGGTTGCAGCTGAAAGGGCATCCGCTGTGTAAAACAAATGCTGGATAAGTTGGCTGTTCATTCCACTGTGGCGACCACTGATGAATAAAGGGACTAAGGAAAGTGAATGGATGAATATTTCAGCACTGTTGTTTATGATTAGAGCATTCGCCGGCATGCAGTCCTTCCGTGACCATGCACTCAACAAAACCCTGGTTTTCTGTGGTGAATGCATATGATTGGATACTGCAATCTTAAGCTCATCACAGTATGTTTTTGGGAAGGCCGAGCATACATTGTGTGTTTTTTGCTGCTGTATGAGCTCATAATAAGCAATTTTTGAACCCATCTGGAGAAAATCAGTGATGCTCATATGGTCATGTGAGAATTTTCAATCCCAGCTGAGTGACTCACAAACTCCCAATCATTTTTAAACATACCAAAAAAGTTTAGAAGTCACCTTGAATTTGTGAGGCGTGTGTGATTGAATGAGCCTACCTGTCAATCCACCTGAAGCTAATCAATCAAGAGGAACAACTCGCTGAATGCTAACACTATTACTGTATATGCTATGCTTGACAGGGTCATCAGAGATGGTACAGCAGACTTTACAATTCACACACATGGGCTGTCTAGTCATCCTGATTTTCTGGAGCTGAAAAAGAATCTGTATGTGTCACAATCATGCACAGCTCATATCAATACTAAACTGTTATGGTGAGTAGAGTGACACTTTTAAAGCAATAAAAACACTGTATTTCTCTGTTCCTGGTTTGGTGCAGATTTGTATGCAATGGACCATTCGCTAAGCCCCGCCCTCCTTAAATACTGTTGCTACGCCTGTCAAGCTTTCATGCCTGGCACACCTTTTACTATGGCTGCGTCCGAAACCGCCTACTACTCAGTAGGTACTGCATTTGAATGTAAACGTACTACTCGGCCGTTAGAAAAGTACGTTCTATACAGTATGAATGTGAAAAGTATGAATGGAATTCAGATGTACTACATCCGCCATTTTGTCATGGTCACGCGACCTACCTGCGTCATTTGCGTCGCTTCACTCCCATTCATGAATTCGCTCGCAGGGCATCATAAGATAGCACAGGGTGCATGGGATGCGCACTCCAGAATCTCGCCGGAAGTAGTAAGTCATCCGGGTACTTCTCGCATACTGATTTTCGAATTCTATGAATTCGGACATACTACTCGGCTCGCATACTGATTTTAGCGTACTATATAATATGGAAGTATGCGGTTTCGGACGCAGCCTATGTGTATGCGCCGGTGTCAGACATTGCCAGGGATATAATGTAATTTTTGGCGAACAGGTGAGATATCCGAGAAAGCCAGACAAAGAAGGACAGCAGTATTCATTACAGGGGTATATTCACGACATAATAAGCAACCGATTAGAGAATAATTTAATCAAAGTTGAAGCTAGCTTAGCCTAGCCGCCTCATACGCTAACCATTCAACAGCTTAGCTCATGCTCAGCAGGAGAGGTGAAATTTAAAAATGATCTAATAATAACTAGTTAAACCATGATTTCTCTATCTTTAGCCAAAAAGCCTGATAGATTACTTGTTGTGCAATGAAATATAGCCTTACTTACCGACATAGTTCATTCCTAGAAAGAACAGCCAGAAAGGGGAAACTGAGGCATTTGAGCCGAATATTTAGTAGTAGTAGTAGTAGTAGCATCATTGACCCATAACAATGTATAGTAAGTTACCTATAACTGTCAGTATGTTTGTGTGCTCGTTATAAATTAATGAAAAACAGCTGCTGGTAAAGTATATTCATAGCAAGTGCTCAGTTTGTGATCATATTATATCTATTTTGTCCTGTTGATTTGTAATTTCAAATATTCATAGCTTGAAACAGATGGAAATATGAAGTTCATTAAAGTTAGCAACAGATTCGCAGATTCGTATTTTCCGAATCAATAACTCATGTCATTATAACCTATTCGCTATTAGGATGACTAAGTTACTATGGCGAAGGCTTAAACGGAGCAGTGCTCATAATATGAAAGTGAAAAAAAAAGGAAAAGACCGCTGGGAAACATAACCTGCTTTGTATTTTTGTAGGAAACAGTGTAGATCTGTTTACGGTAAGAGGTGTGTGAGTTATTGCTGTCAGTCTATCACTGAATGTGTCAGGAATATCAAAACAAAACCAACTTAGCTCCGCTCCTTTAGCGCCCCTCACACAGTTTGATCCACGCTGGCATTTCTCCTCTTGGGTTTTTGGTTTTGAAAAGGAAAAAAATTCCACCATCCCGTCCAAACTTTAAGGATACTGGGTATCAAATTTGCACAATCCATATGCACTGGTTCGAAAGCTTGACAGAGCCCCTGCGCGTAGCTACAGTTGCTAAGCCACGATTGTTGGGTGGCGGTTTTTGGATGTGGCTTAGCGAAGGGTCAATTGCTTCAGAATTCGTCAGGTGATAAAATTGTGTCGTATATCACTGCATCCAAAATATTTTCTCATAAACTCAGTCGTGATGTGTGCATGCACATACAGAACAATCCTCCTAACATCAGAATTTGCACTGTGTACATCTGCCTTAACCAAAAAAAAGCAAGTAATCAAATGGCCTAATTCGGCTTAAACTCAATTTCAGAGGTCACCACAGTGTAATAAACCATATTTTCAGCATTCCAGCATATGTTCCACAACCCAGTACTGGGAAACACCCATATACACTTAAAAAAAGTCGACACACAAAAGTAGACAGTGCTTATCACTGAGCCGGCATGTCTGATACAATCGACCCAGCGCAATAAGGTGCAAAATGTGTTTGGCATGATTTGTTGCTGTTTTCAGACCAGCGCAACCCTAATTTTCATGTTTTGCACCACGTTCATTAAATAGCAAATCCATATGCGGCACTTTGTGGACTCATGGGTGTGCCGGTCTTTCAGTTTATTCAAGACAATTTGCATTTGTATAACATATGTTGTTATTATAAACTTTTAAATTTACTTTATACATTTTTTTAATGCATATTTATATTTGTTTTAATAAAAACAAGTTTAGATTTTTCCTCCTGTCAGGATTTGGAGACGTCTGCATCACCATATGGGGCATAAGAACAGGATGTGTGTTTGGATATAACTCAGTTTTTTGACCACACTTAATTGTTATTGTTCATTTTTACTAATTTGCTGGAGATTAGAACTGAACTTAGAAATCAGTTTTGGAACAAATCTTTGCGCTTAACAAATGAAATTAATTATATAGGCTAATGGAAGACTTCAGTGAAGTGTCTACAACATCGTTTCCTTATCCACAAAAGTACAGGAATAAAGAGTAAAAGTAAAGTAAAGAAGCCAATTGAAGGAGGCTCGTTCTTTATCCTCGTGCTGCAGATGGTATGTTTAACTGTTTTCTCGACAGTGAAGCGTTCAGTTTTTCCACTTACAAACTCTGCACTCTAAATAGTAAATGCGCCATGGCGCGACGCTACTGATTCTTAAAGGGAATGAGAGATGAGACTCTGATTGGTTTAATGCACGTTATGCTCAAAACACACCCATAACTCATTAAGACATTAAGCACAACTCTGTTAGACCATGCACCAGGGCCCAAAGCGTACTTCTCTGTCCTTAAAATAGCAAAAGTGGATTCGGTGCTTAAGACTTTGCACCTAGATCTTTAAAATCTGTGCTTAATTTGTGAATCGCGAGGTCCTAGAACAGATCGGGGTAAGGGATCCAGCATACTATCCAAGGATGTAGAGGTGTCATGCACAAAAGTGGTTGATAGCTGGCCGTTGGATAGCAGAGGGGTGTCGCGTATGAGGTAGTCGCGAACGTAAGATTAGAGCCGGGGCAGGGGGATGGTTGTCGTGGATGAAAGTGAAGAGGGTTGGGGAGTCACGGAACAAAGTGAAAGTGAACAGCGGACGGAGGAGGGCGGGTAAGTAGGGGGATAGGTAAAATGAGGTGCTGGATCAGATTTCAGAGGTGCCGGATCTGGGATGTTATGGCACAAATTAAGCCCTGGTTAAAATAGAGCCCAATGTATGCAAATCTGAAAGTAATGGTACACATGAAAATTATTTTAGATATTTTGTTTACATGTATATTGTGCTAATGCATTTTTTTGCTGCCTTATCAAGATATTGTGTGGACAGAATGTTCTAAAAACATAAAACATTCTAGTTAAATTAAGCTTTAGTTTATTTTTATGAAGTTTAATGAATAAACTACTTGCCATATTGCAGGTGCATTCATTCAAGAAGGACCACGCAAACGGCTGAATGTCACTGATGAGTGTCCAGCGATTCACTGGTCATGGAAAACCTGACTGGATCCAGCGCTGAGCAGCAGCCTGTGGGCTCCACAGGTCCTTCTGTTCCCTCAAAAAAGACTGTAATTTATGAAAATGGTCATGCACATCCCACTCATACAGACCCTGCAGCTGCAGCACACAGAGGGGCCAGCGATCCAACTGCATACCCCCTATCAGATTACCGAGGCCTGGTCCGGCAGAGATTTATACGCAGAAGTTTGTGGTTCTCTGAGTCAGAGGATCAAGAACTCGAGGTTGCAGAGTGCGACATCACCAGCAGCCCTGTTAAAAGTGCACATATCGCCATCCAGAGGAGCTTTAACAAGGAGAGTCAAGTGGGACAGGCAGACGGTACAAACGAGAACTTGAGCAAAGAGCCAGAGACAAGTGAGACCGAGGAAAAGCAAGATGCTGAGCAGGCTGAAGCTGCGGGGAAAGCTGGGAGTGATGAGAACGAGGAAGAGGCTGAAATGAAGGCGGTTTCCACTTCTCCAGGTGGACGCTTTCTTAAGTTTGATATTGAGCTTGGCAGAGGCTCCTTCAAAACTGTTTATAAGGGCCTGGACACTGAGACCTGGGTGGAGGTGGCCTGGTGTGAACTTCAGGTAAGGATAATGCAATTATGACATAAAGTGAACTGCCGTTTTATTCCTCGCAGTGTTTCATTGACTGCATAATAGGATTCCTGTTGGCCTCCTTTCAAATTCCCCAGATTTGTTGATATGCTGTATTTAATATCATAGCAAAAAAAGGTGTCAGTTTGACTCAGGGGAAGTTTATCCAAATATGAAAATAACATTATTAATTACTCACCATCATGCCGTTCCAAACCCCTGAGAAATTTGTTCATCTTTCATATATTTTAGGAATAAACTGAGAGCTCCATCATCCTCCACAGACAGCAAGGTTTCCAACTTTTTCAAAAGCCAGAAAGGTACCAAAACAGCCTTGGTTTAATGTTATAATGGAATATCACTTACTTACTCCCAAGGCCATTTTTATTAAAGTTGGTATTTAGCCGCACCATATTGGTGTTTTGTGACATCTAGTTTTTTATGAGGTGGGTTTTTAGCCCAGCTCTCAACCCCCTACCTGGAGGACCAGGACGTACACTATGGACAATTTAGCTTACCCAATTTACCTACATCACATGTCTTTGGACTGTGGGAAAACAAGATCACCCGGAGGAAAAATTGGAATATTATCAAGCTAAATTAACAACTTTATTTAGCAGTTTCTTCTCCTCAGTGTCAGTATATTGCACATGTTCATGAGCACTGTGCAGTTATACAAAGCACAGATGGATCCGAGGTAATTCGTCAGATGTGCATCAAATCGAGATACATGAATGCACACACTACACTGACGAGAAAAAACTGTTGAAAAAAGTCTTTATTTTAGTTTAATGGGCACACAAATGTGTTCTCATGTCTTAAAAAATATTCTGATTGAACCACCGAAGGGGTTTTAAGGTTTAAATTTTTCTGAACTTTGAATGAGTTGGGCACTATTGCCGTCTATGGAGGATGAGGGAGCTGTCAGATTTCCAATCACTTTCATTGTCACACCGTCAGCAGCACGTGTGCTATGAGTGAAAAGCTTAGATTTCACCTAAATCATCTTAATTTTTGCTCCAAAGATTATTGAAACGTTGAAAAATTTGAAACGTTGTGATTAGCTAATCGCAAGAGGCTGTGAGAATAAATATATATGTAATATTTAATTTTTCCGGCCCAGAGCAAATGTGTGACTGCCGTCTGTGTGTGATAGTCTTACTAGCCAATTGAGTGAGCACACTTTCGGTCTGCCCAATCAGAATTGAGCAATCAAACTAAGCGGAACGCCCACGATAAAAACAAAACAAAAAAAACAAACAGGAAAGCACTGACTATTGGGATAATGGTGTCTTCTGCTTCAGAAGCATTAATAGACAAATTAAATCAAAGAAAAACAGGACATCGGTAATATGGGAATATTTTGATTTCAAAGTCAGACTCCAAACAAAAACAGGTCATTTTTAAAAGCTGCTGCAGAGTTGTTGCCACTGCTTACAGATTATTGACCTGAAGCTTGACTACTAAATTAAGTTGCAAATGGGAATCGCAATATCTTTCCGAAAAATCGCAATTCGATTTTTTCCCCCCAAATCGCACAGCCCTATTTAACACTGTTAGTGTGCAAGCATAATAATAAGCTTTAGATTTTCACTATATCCGTTATCCATAAGTTAACGCTAAAATGTTAAAAATATGTCGTTTATTATAATGAGCTATTATCAAAGAAGTCTATATATTTTCTAAATTGATCCTGTTGCAATTCAGAATGCTTCCTTCTACAAGTTTCTCGGGTCATCTGATATGGCCTCTTCCTTTTATCAGCACTATTGATTGTAAAATGGGGAGATTGAATCACCGTGGGCCACTTCTATATCAGATTTCCTATGTTTAATACTGTTTTCTTGTTGTTGTCTAGAATAATTCGAGGTTCAGCTGAGTTTACATTTTTTTCTGAAATATTCAGAGCTGATTATGAGATTGATTTTAATTGCATCATGCAAACAGCTTTGTGCTACTTCTAGTCTGTTAAAATTTTTAATACATATGAGAGCTTGCTCAAACATCCCAGTCGACATTAACAGACAAAGGCTGAAAGGTGTGGACACAAACAAACTCTGGAGATCAGCAGAGCACACCCCTGGAGGATAAGTCCCCTCTGCATAGTGTCATGTGATAAGCCCTGGTCATGTTAGCTTACCTTCAGATATGATGCAACAGTGCAATGCTATCAAGCCATTTCTTTGTCAGTTTTGATAAATCCACATCATTTTATGCATATCATATTTAAGAATTAAAGGGCTCCTATTTTACCCCTTTTAAAAGATGTAAGATAAACCTTTGGCGTCTCTATCTGTAAAGTTTCAGCTCAATTTACCCAATAGATTATTTATTATACAATGCAGAATATGCCAATGTTTGGCTCAAAACAAGGTGTAGCTATTTTTTTGTAGTCTGTGACTTTAAATGCAAATGAGCTGGTTCTCCGCGCCCACTGATCCCACATGCATGTTTGCTTCTCATGCATTACATCAGTCAGTGACAGAGATATACACGGATAAAACGGAAATCCAACTCGTTAGTCTTAAATACGAAGTAAGTTTATTAGATGTATTTATGGTGGAGTTTATTCAAGCCTTTCTGAAATGATGAGTCACACACAAATGCTGTTACAAAGTTTGCAGAACACACACATTTATTTTTGGACTGTTTTTGCTTCTGTATATTGTTGCTCCAATATACGCTGTGAGGATTCCAGCTGTTATGAATTACATAGCGAATTTACTGTTTACTTTACTACAAACATGCACTGTAATAAAATACGTTTTAAACTTGTAATGCTTATTCGTGAGGTGCAGATGATCACAGAGAGTTGGAACATCTTTTAATGCCGGTTACTTGCTGTGGACATGTTTATACGTGTTACTAAGGAGATATGCTAATATGCGCCTCTCAGTCAATTCGGTGGGTGGTAAAAACCACACTCCTGCATCACATTGCGGTGGGCCTCAGAATCACTGGAATTTGGATCCTATTTTATTTTGGATCCTATTTATCACTCCAGCATGACAGTGGGCACACTATACCTATACACAGTTCTGTTTAAACAGCTTACACAAGTTCATTTGGCATCATATGTGCTAAGGCTGCACGATTCTGGCTAAAATGAGAATCGCAATTATTATTTTTTTTGCTTAATCAAGATCACGATTTTCTCACGATTCTATAGATGTAAAATAAAGATGAATATGAGTAGGCTATTATTGTTATTTCTCAAAAAATATGATAAAACACTAAAGGGGTTTACTAAAGAAGACATCATTGGCGGGCATGCCCATGCCCTCTCTGTAGTAAACAAACAGCACTTCAGCTCATGTGTGATTTCGTAGCTGTGAATACGTCATTACATTAAGACAGAAATTACATTTAGATGTGAATTATACCTTATAAATACAGTATGAAACACTTTTAACACCATTTGGAGGTGTCCATGTTGCTGAGCAACGTCAATCATGCAATGTGAAGACTTGTGCGTCCACCTTTACGCTTTTTTTTTGACCTTGATAATATAATTAGCTGGTTGTAGAAAAGCAGAATTAAGATCGTGTGTAGGGTCGAATCGAGGTTGTGATCTTTTTTTGATTTTTGATTTGGCTCAGTTGGCGTTTCTGTGTGGAGTTTGCATGTTCTCCCTGCATTCGCGTGAGTTTCTTCCGGGTGCTCCGGTTTCCCCCGCAGTCCAAAGACATGTGGTACTGGTGAATTGAGTAGGCAAAATTGTCTTTAGTGTATGAGTGTGTGTGTGTGGATGATTCCCACAGATGGGTTGCTGCAGCTGGAAGGGCATCCCCTGCGTAAAAATGTGCTGGATAAGTTGGCGGTTCATTCCGTTGTGGCGACCCCGGATTAATAAAGGGACTAAGCCAACAAGAAAATGAATGAATGAATGAATGTTCGCTGTCCTTTAAAGGATGACTAGGCAGTTTTGATCTTTCTGTTTCCAGTCATATACATGAGGATGGATTGTTTTTTGCTTCAATGTGTGGGTGGTGGAGCATTATTATTACAGAAGGGAGTCCCATTTGGACTATAGAGGTTAATATTTTGAGATTTTTGCTTTGTTTCTCTAAATGAGTGACCTTTTATTGTATCTGAGAGAGCCTTACAGTATATATTACAGGCATTATCGGTGGCTTGCTGTTGGTTTTGGCTGGGATTTATCCTGCTTTATGATTCGAAAAATCACAAGGATGGAATTAGCAAGAAGCATACATTACGACTGCTGTGCGTAGCAGCTCAGCAAGCCAGAAATTTGCTGAGGCTTTCAAATTTGCGAGGAGGAGAAAGAGCAAGGATGAGACAGAGGAATGGGTCAGATGAGGTGAATACGACTGTGTGCACAGGAAAAATGGCTTCCCTTACTTCAAGCAGCAGCATTCTCAAGACAATAGAAAAGATATTCCTGATGGACCATTTTATGTACAGCTGAACGCTCAACTTGATTTATCACTCATTCGTCAGATAGCATCAGCAGCTTACTGTCTGTATGAAACAAACCTGTTATCTTCAGCGGTCTCTGATTGAGTCTTCGTCTAATACAAGTGTCAGGAAAAGATCTTAGAGCCACACCCTGGCCATGCATAAAAACAAAAAACTCATTTCCTTTCGTGAGAGCTATCTAATTAGCATACTCCTAAAAATTAATAAATGGCATGGTGTTTTATTTGTGTTTTTCTATATTAGCTATATATTTTAGCTATAATTCAAATGGAGGACAGTTTAGGATAATATTATTTCAACCTATTATGAAAATGAAGAGGTTAGCATTGGTGGCATTGTTTTTTGGTAGTTTTCTAATGTACATGTTGCTTGGTAGAAATAACCTGGGAATCTGGTATCATGTTTGGTCTGACGTGCTTGTGGGTTATAGTGTAAATCATTTGGAAAATTAAGAATGGGGAGGTTGACTGAAATATATCTGTGTGTGTGTCTCTGAGTTCGAGAGGTATTGGATGGTGCAGTGTGGGGGTGAGTCTCGGAGGTTTTATGGGGTTGCACATCGCCTGCTGTGAGGGACAGAGATGATACAGATACTCTCTGTCAGCGTTTAGCAAATTTAGCAGCATGGACGAGGGCAGATGCAAAGGTATTGATTTAGTCAGCCTCTTGACCATAGCTACACATCAGCATGCGAACAACCCAAGAATGTATCTGTAGCATTATACACCAGTTTAAGTACAATTACAAGTGCTTTTTACGCTTTCTACCTGGTATAAAGGTGCATTTTCAGTGATCTGATCACAAGTTCTCTGTAAACATGCATTCAGCATGTTTTCATATAGGGCTGGGCGATAATTCGATATCGATAATTATCACGATATAAAATTTTTAGATAAAACGATAATGACAGTTCGATAATTGCTCGATAATATTTACGCACTATGCGTAATGTTGTGAAAGCATTTTACAGTCTGCCCTTCCGGATGCCGCACGCTGTTCAAGTTTACAGCCATACAGTGTTAGTTGTACTTAAGAGAGTAAGAAAAAAAAGGGTAAAAAAGGTCAGAGACGCAGACAAGAAATGTCACTAGACATGAGCTACGTAGTTTTTTGCTATCCGACACAAAACAGAAACGTGCACTGCAAACTGCACAGACGACTCGTGTCATCAAAAGCAGGCAACACCACAAGCCTGTTTCATCTTGTGAAGATGCTAAGAAATTACATACCTAAACAAGTGCTGGAAAACCAGGGCAACTACCCAGCAGAGTCTCATGTCATCATTTTCGAAAGTCGTGCCTTAGGAGAAAAAAACCCAAAAAGACAGACGAAAGATATGACAGACAACACAATCTCAAACACATCCCAATGAACACTTGAAGCTTGCTCTACAGCAGTGGTCACCAAACTTGTTCCTGAAGGGCCGGTGTCCTGCAGATTTGAGCTCCAACCCTAATCAAACACACCTGAACAAGCTAATCAAGATCTTAAATATACTTTAAACATTCAGGCAGGTGTGTTGAGGCAAGTTGAAGCTAAACCCTGCAGGGACACCGTCCCTCCTGGACCGAGATTGGTGACCCCTGCTCTACAGGCTGCATTAAGGATATTTACAACAGTTTCATATGTGACACTCCTGTATTCTTTCATTACACTCAACATCACTTTTATGGGAGGATGTGAATGAAGAAGATGAATGAATGATAACTAAAATTTTGATTGTAATTTCTGTGTTTTGGCACCTTGTTTTCTTTGGTGCATCTTAATGCCAGGTGTAAGTAAATCATCTTGGCTGACCACTTGTGTTCGGATCAATAAAAATGCATGTTAATATGGAATAAGGGCTTTGCGTTTTGCTGCAGGATGTTTGCTTTAATACTGCTTTCTGCATTGTACTCCATATCAAAGAGCTACAAAAACATTAATCACGCACAGTTTTCTGTGAGGAGCATGAATCTTTTCTCTTTCATGTTACATCAATAATGCTTTAGTATCTGTAATTTGGTTGTTTTATCCTTTGCCTGCTTTTGATCTTCCTGTTGACTTTCTTAGTCATAGCATATTCAGTGACATTTTCCCTATCCCCAAGACCTCAAAATACAATTAAACATATAGTCCATACTTACAAAGCAGTTACATAGAATGTCAATAAAGTATATATAGAGATTGACTTTAATTGTTACAATGATTACTGTATTTGTTTATTAGTTGAGTCTGGAACCACAAAAACATTAATGCCTTCCCATTTCCATCCAAGGACCGAAAACTTTCCAAAGCAGAACGTCAGAGGTTTAAAGAGGAGGCAGAGATGCTAAAAGGCCTTCAGCATCCCAACATTGTGCGCTTCTATGACTTTTGGGAATCTCCTCTCAAAGGAAAGAAGTGCATTGTTTTAGTCACTGAACTGATGACATCTGGAACCCTGAAAACGTGAGTCACAAGATATGTTTAGGTTTGATTTGCTGTCTTCTACTCAAACCAGACCTGCTCTTTAGTATACATGCTTCTAAATGAATGCAGAATGTAATGAAGACACATTGGTCTCCCATTTGTTTGTGTTAATATTCAGGTATCTAAAGCGATTTAAGGTGATGAAACCTAAAGTTTTAAGAAGTTGGTGCAGACAGATCTTAAAAGGTCTTCACTTCCTCCATACGAGGACTCCTCCTATTATCCACCGGGACCTGAAGTGTGACAATATCTTCATCACTGGTCCTACAGGCTCAGTCAAGATTGGAGATCTTGGCCTGGCCACACTAAAGAGAGCTTCCTTTGCCAAAAGTGTAATAGGTAACGTCAGGAGTGTGATTGGTTTTTGATATTAGGCTATATTAAATATAATATTTGAAATGTTTAGACTTCATAAATACAAAGGCTATATTATATATGAAGTAAATGATTCTCTCTTTTCTGTTTCCTTCCTCTTTTAGGCACACCAGAATTTATGGCCCCTGAGATGTACGAGGAGCACTACGATGAAGCTGTAGATGTATATGCATTTGGGATGTGCATGCTAGAAATGGCCACATCTGAATATCCATACTCAGAGTGCCAAAATGCAGCACAAATATATCGCAAAGTCACTAGCGTAAGCACTGACTCGGCGTTTATATTTTAAGAATGAAACTTTAAGTGAAAATGCAGTATCAGGTCTAACATAGAAGCGTCCTAATCATGAAACGTGTTTATACATGTTTTTTGTACATAAATTGTTCCATCTAGTTTAGTGGTGCATGTATCATGCAATTTCTTTCTCCTTTTATCAGTGACCTAGATAACAAATCTACTCATTGGTTGTTTTATTATGTCAACTTTTATAATTGCAATCAGGTACAAACAAATGATTGCCTTTAAAGAAATCACAGTTTTGGTGGTAATATTTGTGTGTTCCATATTTATTCATTTCATAGGGTGTGAAGCCAGCCAGTTTCTGTAAGGTGGCTGTGCCTGAAATAAAAGAAATCATTGGAGAGTGTATTTGCCATCGCTGGGAGGAAAGGTGAGTCCATCAGCTGAATAGTCCCCTGTCACATACCCATAAAGGTCAGAAGGCCCCTGCCCTTGTCTGATGTGGCACTTAACATATGACCGGACAATTGTTTCTTGTAATGCTGTGACTTCATGATATATTTACAGTAATTTGTATTTTAAGTAATAAAGCACTGCTAATGACTTATATTGGCATTGATATGTGATTCTAGAGTTGTCTATTTCATGCATGCATTGTCAATCAGTGACATAGTTCATATAATTTGCTATAATACCAAAGTATTGTTGATAGTCCTTATTTTGTTAATTTTGGTGCATCACATGTGGCACCACCAGATTTATCAGCTCTTCACAAACAAAATTTAATTTTTTCCTCCAAAGGTACTCCATAAAGGACTTACTAAACCATGCATTTTTTGCTGAAGACACTGGGGTGAGAGTAGAGCTGGCTGAAGAGGATGATGGCAAAAAGTCTTCCATCGCTCTGAGGCTTTGGGTTGAAGACCAGAAGAAACTCAAGGGGAAATATAAAGACAGTGGTGCTATTGAGTTCAGCTTTGACCTGGAGACAGAAGTCCCGGAGTCAATCGCCCAGGAAATGGTGAACAAAAACAAATATATGCTTATAGTTTTTGATACGTGTTCTGAATGAAAAAGTTACATGATTTCTTCTTGCAGGTGGACTCTGGCTTCTTTTTAGAGATTGATGTGAAGATTGTGAGTAAGTCTATCCGTGACCGGGTGTCTCTAATAAAGTGGAGACGACAACGGATTGTCTCAGGATGTAATGGAAAAACCGAAGAGTGCAGCACCAAGACTGAGACACAGCATCTCCTTCAGGTGCCCTCCACGGGGCCACCAGTCGGTGGTACACCCAGTCTTCCATCCGAAACAGAGGAGGTACAGACTGAAGCAGTCAGCATGGTCTGCAGTGTCCCAACCAGTGAGACTACAGCTACACGTGAGAGACAATTAGGTGTTGTGTGATAACTAGACTCAGCTGGTCAACAAAAGATATCCACATGAATGTTGACAAGATTAGTACAAAATGATTTGTACTAAAGTAGTCATGTAAATGTATCTAAAGTAGGGGTGTCACGATTTTGATTTTTAATCGATCGAATTTATGCTCAATTTCGATTATCGAATCAAAAAATAGAATCGTCGATGCTGCCACGCCCCCATGTCACGTCAGCTTGGCTTGCCAAGCGGGAAAAAAACAGGCTTGTTGAAGTGCTTGTTAAACTGCAGAAGCAGGAGACCCGTCGACAGAACTTTAACCCTCTCCTCTTTCAATGAAGTCGCCGGTGTGTAAGCATTTTGGATTTCCAGTGAGTTATGTTGACAACGTTCGTGTTTTTGCAAGCTCTGCTATGTACGTATTACGTACGGTTCGTCCGATAGACAACACCGGCATCGCGATCCTCCGCCCGCCCTCGTTACAAATCCGCTCGCAAAAAGTACACACTCAGGGCCTGTTTACACTGTCTTTCCTCTCTACCTCTGAAAATGCACATCACGTGACCACACAGACGCACACACAGCCATGCGCTCGATACAGCAGGTCCAGGCAGTCAGAGGACTGCTTCAATCTTTCACTCACTTGTACTTAGTCATTTTAGCGAACACCCCAGATACTGTTGGCTGGATCCTGTTGGTTGTGCGTCTTTTTTACAGACGCCATTATAACGACACAGATCACTGCCTATTCACGAGTCCCGCAGAAAAAAGTGATTGACAGGTGGTAATTATGTGTGTATCTTGCCTTTATTCATTTACTGTATGATTTGTTTATGGGTAAAACAAAGACCATGCAAGTCAGGTTACAAATAATTAATTGGTCATTAATTAATTATTCATAATCGAAAATCGAATCGTGCCTTTAGAATCGAAAATGTAATCGAATCGAGGATTTGGAGGATAGTGACACCCTTAATCTAAAGGTGCTTTTTCAACTGCATGGTATGATGCGGTTCAGTACGGCTCACTTTAGGAGCTTTTTTCTACTCTGTTTTGTACCCAGTACCTGGTACTTTTAATACCACCATAGGTGAGGCCCACCCACTCTCAGCAGTACTAATCTGCAGTGGAAATGCAAAATGATCCGAACAAAACTGAAGCAAGCCGACGTTGCACTTAATTATATTATTTGCTACTTCTTTAACCATTCTTTTGCAATATTTACACAATTAAATCATGCAATAATTCCTTTGGTTTAATAACCTGAGTCTGCACTTTGTGTTGTTTGTCCTAAATAATGCAGCAGACAGCAGTGCAGGCTCAACAATGGTAACAGGAGCTTCGGGCAACCAAGACAGCACCTCTCAGCAGTCCCTTTCGGAGTCCATTTCCACTGCCCAAAGGGTCTTAAGCCCTCCAGCACAGCTTCTGACTCAGTTTCCACAGGCTGGCCTGCTGACATCTACTGCACATCTGCCTCTGGGGACTCAACAACAACCTGTTCTACAAATGCACCAAGGTGTCACTCAGCAAACAATAGACCATTTGTTCCATGGAGCCCAGCAACAACCTAGTCCTCGGCAACCCCAGGGAACCCAACAACAACAACCTAGTGCCCCACTGCACCAGGCTGCACAAGCACATGGATTGATGTCTCAAGCACCCCAGCAACAACCCACCGTTCAACTGCACCAGCAATATCAGCAGGCAACTCATCAGCTACATCAAGGGGCTTTTCAGCAATCCTCAGTACATCTGCATCAGAGCGCCTACCAGCAGTCACCTGTAAGTTTATTCCTAAATCATTGCAGTTAAAACTGTAGTAGAAAAGACCACCAAAGACCATTCTTTTCTCCTCTTAGCCTTTTAGTTTTTTATGTTTTGGCTGTCTGAATTTTTAAAATGTTTCTTTTTCTCACATTGTGGCTGAACAAGCAGCGACATGGCAGTATTCCTGGTGACTCCCAAGGAATATTCTCTAATAACTTGGCGGGGACCAGGCGCAGCAGCACATCATTCCTCGACACATTACAGAGAAGGGCCGACCTACAAGATTTTTTAGAACGCCTTCATTATCAGGCATATAGCTGTCCCAAACCTGGAGCAAGTTCTAGATATAAAATAAATCAGTCGCAGTCTACAAGTGCCTTTGTAGGGTCTTCATCATTCACAAATGATGAGCAGGAAACAGATATTTCTAAAGACATTGGAGACTTAGGACATAGATCAGAACAAGTAAAAATTCATTCTCAGTCAATGTCATTCGGTCGAAGGAATTCTGATATCCCCCCACATTACTGCCAGGCTTGTAGGGCAATGTTGCTGGGTGTAAGGTCAGGGGGTCGAGGGTCTCTTGGCCATGCTTCTTCCTCCCATATCCACCAAAATAAGTCCACTGTATTCCCAAATAAACCACCTTTGTCACCTGATCCGGCTCATCTAGATTCAATTTATATGACTCAACAGTCTCCACATATCCCTCCAAAGCACGTTTCTGTTCCTAAGAACATATCAACTTCAATACCAGTTCAAGTCACCCCACCCTCTCCTGGACACGAAGGCCATCCTCCTGCTCAGGTTCCTGTCACAGGATTAAATCATAGCACTGCCTTCTCCCCTGTCTATATAACAATACCCTCTCCAGTCCACACTTCTTCCAGACATACATCTATATCTTCTCCAGTTGATTTAGTCTCCCCCCTCTGGCCATCCTCTCCAGTGTCCCCTGTCTCCTTGATTGGGCCACATTCTCCTAGTTTGGGAGACAGCTCAGATTTGTCTCACCTTGACCGCTGTCTCCATCATATCATCAATCGTCGTACTAGCTCCCCTGTGCTAGCTGACAGGGCACAGCCTGGAGATGGCCACGGCGATTCTTCTATTAACAGGTTTCTTGGACTTCAGTTCCAAGCCAAAAGCTCTTTGTGTGTACCTCTATCACATCAGGAAACTTTTTCTGTGCAGGACAGTGAGGTTGGACCAGTTCTTGTGGTAGGTGAAAACAAAACGTGCTAGCTAATATCCTAGCAAGAAAACGTAGAACAAAATATCGCTTTTGGCTCACCCATACTTTGCTTGGAGAAATGCAGCTTCCTGAATTTGTTGCATTAGATTTAAATGTAAATCCTTCCTAGTTCTAAGCCTATGTAGAATTTAAGAGTACATTTGTACTTTGTAGTCTCTGAACTAAGGGTGCTTTCACACCTGCCTTATTTTGTTCGATTGAATCGCACCAGAGTTCGTTTCCCCTTTTGGTACGGTTTGTTTGGGCAGGTGAGAATGCAGCAATCGTACTCGAGTGTGCACTAAAAGCGGATTAAATAAGCGTACCAAGACCTGCTTGAAGAGGTGGTCTCGTTACGCTTTCAAACGAACCCTGGATCAGTTCGTTTGTGGTGAGAATATGATTCGTACTAAAACAGGTCCAACCGCAAAAAGTACTGCGCGTTTTAGACTAATTCAGCTGCCGTAGGCCGATGCGCTGTGCATTATGGGATATGGAGTAAAAATATTTGTTGACAGTGCTTTACCAACAGAGAGAGAGAGAGAGAGAGGGGAAAACATTACCTGATGGATCGTTGGTAATATTTCCGCAAGATGACCATGTCGCAGTTTAGCTAAATTAATTCATGTCTCCTCCAGAAGTGACGAGCGATGCATTAAACACTGTTTTCCAGCCGCGGCCGCGCTTCATTTTCGTAATGTATAGTTTGTCTAAAGCAGGGATACAATCAGCCAGCGCAGTCGTCCCTCCGAAGTAAAAGGTTTTGTTTACCTGCAGGAGTTCACTGGCATTTTCCCGCACGTAAATTCTGACCAATCAATAAGTAGTTTAGGAAATATGCTCAACAACATCTGGCCAATGAGAGATGTGGATTTTGTCAGATGACTGCATTTTGGTTCGTTTCAACTGGTTCGGACCAAAGCTAGCAGGGTGGCGTGAAATTGACCCAAAGATGGCAGAAAATGCAACAATGTATCATTTATTACCCTTGGTCCTGTCCAAATGAAGCGAACTACAGATGTGAAAGCACCCTAAACTGAACGAATTTCTCTAACCACTGCTATTTGCAAAAGAATAAGAAATAGAGCTGTTTTCAGTGGATTATTAAGTCCTTTTGAAGGGCACAGTCTCTTGAAAGACTGCTTGAGGATGGCACAGCAAGCTGACTGAACAATAAATGACTGCTACTGCAACACTGCAAATTATCCTTGTCACCCTTTATGTGGTCCATTTTAGAGCAACATCCCCTGTGTGTAGAGCAAATCACTGCTCTGATGTTTGATATCATACATTTTCTCCTTTTCTTCCCTGTCAGTAGCTGATAATTTACCTGTCACATCAAACCCTATGCTACAAATATCCTAAAGAACCGTTATTGGTTGAGAAGTGGTTAATTGCAATGGTTCCTGCATTAACATTTGTGTTTGTGCATGTCTTTTTCAGCCTTCTGCACAAACTGTTCCATCTAAGACTGTCTCTGCTCCAGCTACTCCTGTACCGCATGCCCGTCCACAAAGCATTCCTGCTTCTGCCCTTGTAGCACAGCAAAACCAGACAACTGTACCACTAGCCCAGGAGGTAAGTCTGCTGTAGATTTGCCGCCTAATAAATGAGGAGAGATGCATGCCTGTGGCTAGCAAAGAGATAGTTTATAGTGTAATTTAGTTCTTCCTTGTGTTTGTATTTCTCTCAGTTTCATCTCTATTTCCATCCTGAAGCTTTCCTGCCTCAGGTAGACTGTATAAACATCCTCAGTTTTTTTTAAATCTGAAAAAATTCTGGACAAATTTGGTTTTAGTCAAGCCATAATCGTATTAATTTATAAAATGTTTACTGAATAATGCACAAATTCAGTTTAACCAACCACCAACCTAGTTGGAGGTAAATATATAACTAGCAAAGTGTCTGGGAACAGTTGAATATGTGTTTATGAAATTAATAATTGTTTATCTTTTTTTCCCTTTATCTGTTTGTCCATCCCAGACTTTATCAACTCTCCAGCCACTAATGCAGGCATCCACAGATGGTCAGTCTATTCCACAGCATCTATTACAGTCAGCATCTTCAATGCTCAGTACCCTACCTCCACAACCACAACTAAATATTCAGACACCCCTTCTCCAGCCTCTACAAATTTCCACAAAGGTGAGTTTGTGAAAATGGGAAATTGGCATATTTGCACTACCAATTTTTTCGGATTTCTGAAGTTTATTCTGTAGCCAGAGTGAAATCTGTTCAATCATAGATGAAACAGTTGATGGATTTTCCAAATTGTACCTGTAAATATGTAGATTCCTAGCTTACCTCTGGCTGTTTATGTTTTTATGATTTTTGCTCTTTATTCTTTAGTTTCCTTCGACATATCCTCTTTTACCAGAAGGGGGCACATCTACAGGGACAGAACCTATATCTTTCTCCTCAGTCTCTTACTCTTCTCCTTATCCCACAAATGCTCCTCCTGCATCATCCCCCTACTACTCACCAAGCCCCATCAGCGCTCCCCTTCCCATAATACCCATGCAGAATGTACCTTGCATACTAGGATCAGGCACACCTGTATCCACCCCTCTCAATGTTCCCACCCCTATACCTCTCCTGGCTATGGCCCTCTCCCCACCCATGCCTCCACCAGAGCAACATCTGCAACAGATGTTCTCCCCAATTCCAACACCAGAAGGTGCCCTTTACCAACCTCAACCCCAACCAACACAGCCCTCCCTTCCCCTTCCAAATCCAGCATCTCTCCCTCAGCAAGACCCGTCTATTCCTGAACCTTTTAAAGAGGTAAATTCTGTGCTTTCTTTCCTGCTTTGTGCAAGGATTGATTAATGTATGGTGAATGTGTGTCAGAATATTTCTAAGATCACACAGGTGTTAAAGCACAGTAGTTATTTGGAAAGGGACAGCATAATGGCAATACATTAATCAAGATTGGTGCTTTAGTTCCTTGTCACAGCAATCAATAATGCAGGATAATTAATATTATTATGAGACCCTAACAATTGAGGTTAAGGCTCTTCTTGCATAATGAAACACACCTTTTTTTTCACAGGAATACTCTCACCATGAGGAATTGCAGATCCTGGCTCCATCTCACACTGTTATGTCACAGATTCAGTCTCCTCCACAGGACAGTAAGTCAGAAACAAAGTTTACCAATGTCCAAGCCTTTTCTGAGACAGTGGAGCATCCTCTGCAGTCTACTGGCATTCAGAGAGCTTATGCTGTTCCTGAGAGTACTGGCACAGCTAGTGCAACTCAGCAAAGGGCAGAAACTTCTGCAATGCCCAAACTCCCAGCACCAGAGCCCTGCCCATTTCAACACAGCACTGAGGTAACATTCTTTATCGGACTATAAAGTAGTGATGGGTCGTTCATGAACGATTCGTTCTTTTTGAACGAATCTTCAATATGACTTGGGAACTACGAGTCCTCTCAAGGAGTGATTCGTTCATCCGCGCATGCACACATTTGTGCAGGTAGTATCGTTAATTTCAAGTCTTCATCACATTGGCAGAAGCCAATTATACGCGTTTAGAGCCGGAAAAAGAATTGATCCGCTCACCTCTCGAGTCCTCGATCGGGTCTGAGTCACTCGTTCCTCACGGGCCAATCATATGCGTTTAGAGCCGGAAAAAGAATTGATCCGCTCATCTCTTGAGTCCTCTATCGGGTCTGAGTCACTCGTTCCTCACGAGCCAATCATATGCGTTTAGAGCCGGAAAAAGAATTGATCCGCTCACCTCTCGAGTCCTGGATCGGGTCTGAGTCACTCGTTCATCACGAGCCAATCATATGCGTTTAGAGCCGGAAAAAGAATTGATCCGCTCATCTCTCGAGTCCTCTATCGGGTCTGAGTCACTCGTTCCTCACGGGCCAATCATACGCGTTTAGAACCAGAAAAAGAATTGATCCGTTCATCTCTCGAGTCCTCTATCGGGTCTGAGTCACTCGTTCCTCACGGGCCAATCATACGCATTTCGAGCCGGAAAAAGAACTGAACCGTTCATCTCTGGAGTCATCGGGTTTGAGTCATTCTGTCACGTGATGAACGAACGATCATGGCTCCTATCGGCTTAGACTGTGCATTGATTAAGATTATTTGTGACTGTCAGTGTAACGTGAATGAACCCCTGACATTTGAAGACATGAAGAGGTGAGCTGAGCATAGAGACAAAAATGCCTTCATAGACAAAAGAGCAGGTAAACATTCAATTATTATTTTCTCCTTGTTATATTCTACTTATGACTTATTTGTCGTGTAATCAACCTTTTGGGCTAGTTGTAGATGTGTTTGGAAGCAATTCGTAACATTTTAATAATACTTTGGCAAATTGAACCAAATGAACGAAATGACTCGAAAAAAGATTCGTTCATCTTGATGAACAAGACTCAAAGATCCGAGTCAGTAAAATGATCCAAACTTCCCATCACTACTATAAAGTGTTCATAAAACTAAGACAGTTATAGATCAATTATTTAAGTATTATATTTTCCTTACAGGCACCTGCATCTATTCCTCTCCATGCTTTTGTGTGCGACAGGTAGGTAGACGCTGGTTTGCTCTAAAAAGCTTGCAGACATCAAAGAAACATTATTGTGGTGCTTAAAGTTTTAAATGTAGTTTTATGTAAATGTTTAGCCTACCATCATGCTATGTTTCTTTTTATTCATGTGAATTATTTGACAGACAGCACTCAATGCATTACAACAGTAGCAGATTTCAAATTATTTTGACTTTTTAGCCTAAATCAAGATGCAGGATCTAGTAAAGAAATGAGTGACAGCTATGAAGGATCCACCGGTGGAGGAAAAGGTGATGGCAAACCCAGAAAGCATCACCGCAAATCTGCTCGCACACGTTCACGCCAAGAAAAAATTAACAAGCCAAAACTAAGCATGTTAAATGTAAGTATTAAACATCTTCTATTTAAATACAAATTTTGCAGTTATTTCCTAAATGTCCTTATATTTTCAGGTTAGTAATACGGGTGACAAGATGGTGGAATGCCAGTTGGAGACACACAATCATAAAATGGTGACTTTCAAGTTCGACCTAGATGGAGATGCGCCTGAAGAAATAGCCACTTATATGGTGAGATTAATGTTCCACCCAGGTTTGTAGAGTATTAAGAAATATTACTGTGGTGCTTAAAGTTTTTAATTTAACTTGATGTACGTTTGGAGTCCACCATCAGATTTAGTTTCCCCTATTTGTGTATTAGGTGGAAAATGGTTTCATTCTACCAATAGAAAAGGAGATTTTCATAGATCAACTAAAAGACATTGTTGACAAGGCAGAGGATATTTTAAGTGAGGACATGGATGGAGAGAAGACATCAGAACTTGGAAAAGGACAGACACCTGGAGATAAAGGAAGAGAGGTAATTAAGGAAGTCTGTTAAAGGTTCAGACATCTTAAATTTGGAATTTAACCAACTAAATTCGGTCTCTTACTGTTACTCTCCAGGCAATAAATGGACAGCAACCTGGGATTCCCCAGGCAGTTTATCAGCAAAATGGTAAACCTTCTTCCTAATTTAAAATACATGCACACCAAATGCTCGCTGATTTATTGTATCAGTATGCAAGCCTTTAGTACTGTATCTGTTCAAGTCCTCTGTTTAGTTCTGCACACAGGCAAGAGGTGGTTCATCATCTGCCCTGTAGAAGAAGCTCCTGCAGCAAGTCAGGATGGATGCTCAGATGGAGGTCCATCTACACAATCTCCATCTACAACAACAATAACTGAAGGAACAGCCACTGCTCAGCCTGTAGAGAGTGCATCAGTACAACCACCAGAACCCAGCACAGGATCTGCTTCCGCTTCTATGGGTAATGTCAGGTTACCCATTGTGGGTAGTAATACTGCCTTGGGGTTGGTTTAAACAATTCAAACTTGATGAATCACAACACAATAATCTAGACCAGTGTTTCTCAACTGGTGGGTCACGACCCAAAAGTGGGTCGCGGGAACATTTTCAGTGGGTCGCAGAGTGTGTAGTCAAAAAACACAACAAAAGTAAAAAAATGTTTACTTTTTTTTTTGCTTATACCGGACTATTATTTAGAAATTAGTGCGCGACAACCCTACCGTTTGACATGTGAAAGTTCATTTAATTATACCAACAAATATGTTGAAGCGCAAGTTCGACCCAGAATATGTTAAGTATGTATTTACATATATTGATGACAAAAAAGACTTAAAGCCTCAGTGTCATGTAGTGAGGTGCTCTCATAAGAGAGCATGAAGCCTTCTAAATTAAGACGACATTTAGAAAGACAACATGTTTTATTAACAGTTCAGTTTAGTTCATGGTAACTGAACATTTTCTTACCCTAACCACTGTTTACAGTATTTGTCGTTTTTACTTTGTAATATTTCTATAATTTTATCCATTTTTTAAAAAATGACAGCAATAAAATATTTATTTGTAAGTCTCGGTGAATGTCTTATGATTTATCTGTCACTACTTGTGTATGTTAACAAATAAATACAAATGAATCATAATTCCTAAAATTGTATTATAGTTCCTAAAAATTTGGGTTGCGGCTCAATGACCATGTAAAAATGTGGGTCCCATGGCCAAACCAGTTGAGAACCCCTGATCTAGACCACATATGAGGTCATGCAGAAAAGACACTGTATGTTCATAGTGCTTATTTATTTAGCCTATCTGCTTCTGTTGTGAACTAGGAAACTTTAAGATAAATATAAATTATAAAAAGTATCTGCAATATTGTGAGAAACAATCATGAATATACTAATACAGCTGTTCTCCTTTCACTAGACTAAAATGAGCATATATTCTTTATTTTTAAGAAAAGGTTTGCTACATTTTCTGCTTTGTTTCATTCCGCAGATTCAGAAACCTGTGCCACAGCGCCTCCATCTGGAGGAAGTGATCCCTATGGGGTCTGGAGCCCTCTCTCTTTGACAAATACTGATCCTCTTTCTCTGGCTGCTCTTTCCCAAGCTCCTCCTGCCCCGCAAGCAGCTATGATGCCAGCACAGCCTGCTTCACATTCAGAGGAGGGCCAAAATTTGGGCTCTACCCAGGTCAGTGTACAGCAGTCCCAGCCCTGCATAGATCCTCAAAGCTCTCTTTTTGTGGAAGAGACTCAAAGTGGCAGATTAGACTCGGTCTCCGCAATGCACACCGCTCAGCAAATGGCTGAAATTGCATGTGCTGCCTCATTGGTGGAGGACGTGCCCTGCTGTCCCTTGGTCATGCCGTTGTCCCTTGAAGTAAGCAGCGGGGCTCAGAAGCCATCAACCGTAATTCCGCCACCATCACAAGACAGTACATCTGCTCGCGAACAACTCCAATCCATTACATCTAATCGAGCGGAGCGTGGCCTGCAACCTGTGGTGCTGCAGCAGCCTGTTTCCACTGTAAGTGGATCTAAGGCTCCTTCCCTGCCTCAGAGCCCTGCTCCTTCACAGCACCACTTTGTCCCTGGTGAGTCAGATGGAGAGGGGCGTAGCAGAGGAGGGTTTGTAGACAGCACTATCAAGACTCTGGATGAGAAATTGAGGAATTTATTGTACCAAGAGTACGCTCCGATGTACCCATCGGGAAGTGCAGCTGAAACTCCAGGATCTGGTACAGAGTATATCCAGTCTCCACCAGGACCTGAGAGTGCCATGGGAGGGTCAGGAACCAGCACACCTAGTCTTATAGGAGAGGGACGATTCAGGGCAGGTGAACAGCTGGTAAGTTTAATCTCCATCTTTTATTCTTGCATATTTCATATCATCACAAGATTTTATTTTATTAGGAATGATACTTCTTTTGTAAGTCAGCTGTCACCAACAGCTATTCCCTTGCTTACAGCATGTCTGGATAACAATTTTGAACTGATAAATGTTTTGAGCTTCAGAACTTGGGTATGTTGATGAATCATCACCAAAAAGTATTGCCTTTTTGTTTTGAAGCCACAGATCCCAGAGCGGGTAGACAGTTTAAGCGCTCTCAGCGACTCTGCAGTTGGAGGTTAGACAATATTTTGTCCTTTTATTCTCTTGATAAACACTATTTACAAACAGTATAAAAGCCATGTTTCTCTACAGTTACTGTGTCAAGGAGACATGTGATGCCACACTCTACATCTTGTTCTGGATCTAGAAATCGATATAAGGTATACTGTGCACAGCAATGGTTTGATTTCTGCTGGATAAGTTTTAAAGACCTTTTATTAATCTTCAGTTGAATAATCTGAGAGCCACTTTGTGGTAACAACATAGTTGTTTGCAGTGTTGGGCAGTAGCATCGCCACAAGTAGTGACGCTACTAGCTTAGCTACATTTCTCAGTAGCTTGGCGGTAGCGTCGCTTCTTTCTAAATCAAGTAGCTTTTCAGTAGCGAAGCTATTTTATTAGTCAAGTAGCGCAGTAGCGTCCACAAAGCTACATTTACCAATCGTGGATCAATAAGTGAAGGCACCGACAATTACAGAGCTGTGAAGCCATTAACTGCGTCCCAAATGGCACACTATACACTGTGCACTCATGCACTATGTACTTATGCACCTTACACACTCAACAGGATAGTATATGTATGTAGTGTCGTCCCAAATGGCACACTAATGTGTTTTTACTAAGCAGAAATTCAAACCGTTTCCCTGATGACGTTTGACGTTTGCCAAATCAGTGAAATAAACGACCGAATTATCAGATAATACCTGCCGTGAGTATTGCCGCATTCACCATCGGGAGGCGCTAAAATCACTCTCGTAGGAGAATTTTGCTTTCACCATCCAAAATAAATAAAGTTATTCAACATGTGCATCTGATAGCTCCGCCCCTTCCACTACGTGAGCAAACCTGCGGTCGTTGAGTGCGTGAAGTGTCCATCATTACACACTTCATTTTAGCGGCTGAATGAGTGCATCATCCGGGTAATTAAAGTGCACTTATTATTTTTAGAGTTTTCAGTGTGAACGCACTACTTACACTATTTATACTACAAAATGGCGTAGAATAGTGCATAAGGATGCGATTTGGGACGCAGCTATTGTCTAGCCGATGAAAGTAAATCCATAGCTGCGTCCCAAATCGCATACTTATGCACTATTCTACGCCATTTTGTAGTATAAACAGTGTAAGTAGTGTGTTCACACTGAAAACTCTAAAAATCATAAGTGCACTTTAATTACCCGGATGATGCACTCATTCAGCCGCTAAAATGAAGTGTGTAATGATGGACACTTCACGCACTCAACGACCGCAGGTTTGCATACATAGCGGAAGGGGCGGAGCTATCGGACGCACATGTTGAATAACTTTATTTATTTTGGATGGTGAAAGCAAAATTCTCCAACGAGAGTGATTATAGCGCCTCCCGATGGTGAATGTGGCTATACTCATGGCAGGTATTATTTGATAATTCTGTTGTTTATTTCACTGATTTGGCAACCGTCAAACGTCATTAGGGAAACGGTTTGAATTTCCGCTTAGTAAAAAAACATTAGTGTGCCATTTGGGACACCACTTCATACATATACTATCCTGTTGAGTGTGTAAGTGCATAAGTACATAGTGCATGAGTGCATAGTGTATAGTGTGCCATTTGGGACGCAGCTAGTATGATGGCGAGCCGCGAGAAACATGATTTCTTCTTCTTTCTGTTTTATGGTGGTTGACAACAAACTTTTTGGTGCGTTACTGCCACCTCTGGTAGGTGACGTCGCAAACCAAATTAGGCTAGCACGAGAAACTTCCTTGATGGAAAGATGACTGAGGGAGAGCAATTATTTCTGAAGCAGGATTTTTCATGACCATACCTCGAGAAGTACATGTTAAGATGCAATAACTTAATTTCTGATGCTGTGCTCAAAAAATACTTCAGTAATTTATAGTAAGTACTACTATAAATTACTGCATTATGTAGTGTAATTTATTAATGAAGAGTTGTAAAATATATACAATATGCATAACACTTATGTCAAAATATTTCTCTTCACTATAAATTACTATAGTATTTTAAATGTGTAACACCTGCTTTTATTGGATTTTTTTGTTTTAGCTGTTATATACTATAATGTGTTTTTGTTTAGTACAGCATATTATTTACAGTAAATAACTGAACTGAATTATTATGCCTCATATGTTTCATTGACAGTTTTGATTACTAATATGATTGACTTGGATTTATTTGCTTCGATTAAAAAATAAAAATTGCAAAAATAGCTTAGATGTAGCTAAGCTACTTTTGCCATGTAGCTTTTAGCTTAGCTTGCTACATTTCCCAGGGGGAAGCATTTAGTGTAGTTATGCTACATTTTAGAGTAGCTTATAGCTTAGCTCACTACATATTTCAAGTAGCTTGCCCAACACTGGTTGTTTGTCATAGTAATGTATTAAGTCAATTCTTGTGAAATCAGCATTTTGTCTTCTTTTTTGATTTGATTTACTTTTCTGGATTAGATGGTGCCAAGCTCCACTGACATCTTGACAGGTCAAGGTCGAAAGCAGCGCAGCCTGAGCAGCACGGCATCTCCAGCACACCCTGGTGGATTTTTGGGAGAATGTACCATGTACGAAGAGCCGACTATGTCAGCTACTACAGTTGGCAGGTTCTCAGTGGTCAGCACAGAAGACGAGGTCACGCGTAGAAAGTACAGTAGCAGATATTCAGCTCCACCTGACTTTTATCTGGACGCTCCACCTCCACTGACCAAACGGGGGTCTTTGCCAAGGGCGCAGACCTCGACTTCAGCAGATGCCACAGTTTGCACACGATTTATGTCATCTGACTCTGGGGCAGAAAGCAGCCCTGCAAAAATGGCACCTACAACCCCATCCCGGCATGGCAGGTCTGAAAGGAGAGGAAGCGACCTCATGAAAAGGGCAGTGGCTTTTCTAAAGCGCTCTGGCCGCAGCAGTAGTGTGCAAAGCTCTGATTCACCAAGCCGGAAAGGAGGGGTGTATGGATCCTATGTCAGCAGTGACAATGACTCAGAGATGGAGGACTCAGATATTAAAAAGGAGCTTCAAAATCTAAGAGAAAAGTAAGTTTATCTGTGAGCCTGTTTTTTGTTTGGTTTGTCTTTTGGATGAATACTAAAAGAAAAACAATGTTTGCATCCTCTACAGGCATATGAAGGAGATAAGTGAATTGGAGGCCCACCACAGAGAAGAGATTGAGCTTCTCTATGTCAGATTAGGAAAACCACCACCTCCAGGTCTATACATCCCACCCACAGTGCCCCCTGCTGGACGCAAGCGCAGGACCAGCAGGCACAAACTAAAAGCTGGCAAACTGCTCAGCCCTCTAGTACAACAACTGAGAAATGTTGCTTCTAAAACTGGTGACTCCAGCAAACCTAATGATTTAACCAAATCTGGTAAGAAACTATGACTACGCTACTAAACACCTTAATGGATTAGTTTATCCGCTTGTTAAGTGGTAACATGTTTGTGACGGATGTAATACCGTTTCCGGGTCCAAGCCGCCACTCATTTGAGTGGAGAAATCATTCGTTTATGATCACGTTTTATTCCTATCACACATTAAAGTTAATTTTATATAAAATCATAGTGTACACAACAATCTCTGGGCTTGCTGCATAACAAATACCAAAGTTTTAACAATTTATAAAAAATTATCCCTCTTTCTGGCCATAGGATATTAGGCATGGACATATATATGATTTTCGAAAGCCTTAAATTGCTTTGTAAACGTTTATTATTACCATTTCATGAGTCTCCGCATTCAGTTGAACAGAGCGCTTGGACCAGGAAGCAGCTTCGCGTGACGTCACACTTAACAAGCGGATAGGTTAGGGAAAGGGTTAGAAATTTTAGGGCTTCCTCTTTCTCCATAGACAACAAGGTTTCTGACTCAAAGTCCAGAAAGGTACCAAAAACATAATTAAAACAGGTTATATGCCTTCAGCGGTTCAATCAGAATGTCGTGAAGCTACAAAAATACTTCTGTGCACACACAAAACTAAAAAAATACTTTATGAAGTATCTTTTAATAAGTCTCTTCTCCTCATTGTCAGTATATTACACACAAACAACTCATGAACGAGTCCTTACTGTCTATGGAGAATGAGGGAGCTTTGCGATTTCACCTAAAATATCTTAATGTATGTTCCACAAACAAATGAAGGGTTGGAGGTTTGGAACGACATAAGGGTGAATAATTAATAACAGAATTTTATTTCTGAATGAACAGTTTAAAATTTGAAACCCTCCCAAAAACATCATAACAGCTAATATCTTTTTCAGCTGAGGCGGTCCCGAGCTTGAATGGATCTCCTGTCAGAGCATCCAACTTGTCTGATGGCAGGCCTTATTCTGGGACCGGGACTCTGCCTTGTTCTGTTTCTGAGCCAGTTCAGACCCAACAGCCCTGCTCTCTTAAAGGATCTCTGTCTTCCGACAATATCTACTATGGTGCACAGGGAGAAGGACCCGTGCCACGCAGCCAGCCTGCCCAAGGTGATAAAAATTCCAAATTTTCAGCATACACCTTGAGAGAAATATCCTTCAGGCAGTAAAATAAAGTTGCCATTGTACCAGACCTTGTATCCTGGCATTATCAATTGATCATTCACCTGCAAAAAACAAAACAAAAATATCGCATGGAATTTACTTTAATAATGATAACATTTAAATTTTAGACATGGATGTGTCTAATTTTCCCTAAATATTAATATATATATATAGTTTATATATTTTATTAAGAGTTTTTAGAATAATCATTTAGCAGTCAAGTAAATTCAATCGTAGTGATTCTTACTCTCTCACCTCTGTACTTATGTCTGCAGGCTGGCCTCCTTCTCCCCAGGCGTCTGCGCAGGTCACCTATAAATCCAGTAGTAAACCACGCGCTAGATTCCTCAGTGGGCCAGTTTCTCTGTCCATCTGTTTGTATCTCTCTCCTTTCCGCCATTCTCCATATCATATGTTGGGAGTCTATCTTTCTCCCGCTCTCTTCTCTTGAATCTTTCTCCCACTCTCTTCTGCTCATCAGCATTCATGCTTCATCCTTGATCATTTGTGATCATTCTGTTTGTATCATTAGTTTATCCTTAATTTTTTTTTATTTAATTCAGTTGTTTTTGATGGCGATGCTGTTATGCTTCTAAATACTTTAACACGCTGCACGGCTTCACAGTAATCTTGCTTTAATTATTCTCACTTTAAAGTTTTTCAAGCCCAAACCACCACTGTTAAACCATTAATTATTTTCTGTTTCAGTATTTTAATATTTTGGCCTGTAATACCTTACATCTAATTCACGTTTATATTGCAGTTGTTATTTTTAAATGACACATTCCATGTATTTATGTGATTATGCACAGTGATTTTCAAAAGAGAACTAATCTGAATAATTTTTCTTTTGTGTAGGGTCAACACTTAAGCGCCTGTGTCTGGGTAAAGAACGTGGCAGCAGTAAATATTCTCTATTCTAAATTACTGACCCTGTTTACGCATAATTCTAGAGCATTCACAGTGTAATTTCAGTTTAATAAGATATTCAGTATAATCAAACACGCTGTATGTTATATTTCAGTTCATTCGTGATTGTTTCATAGGATCTGGAGCATCATCAGGTGCCTCAAATCAATCCCCTATGCCTCCTGGATCCACTCCTCCTCCTCACCAGCCTGTTGGCCTTGCCCAAGCACAGACAAACAACAGCAACAACAAAACAGATGCTTTCACTCAGCAGCTTCACCGACTGGTGGATAACTGGGCAGAAGGTGTGAGGGCTCCTTCACGCTCACGCTCCCTCAGTCTAAGACCACAGCAACTGACCAGAACCAGGATCTGGAGTGCAACAGAGGTGAAACTATTTAAAATAATCGATAAATGACATAATATACATTCTGGTTACTCACTCTCATGACACTACAATTTTTTTCAGAATGTCTATCAATCAAATTGACACAGATGGAAGCTTGTTCCCACCAAAAAAAGAGTATGTTTACACTTGGTTTGGTTCCGTTAAAATAAAGGGGGCTTTCACACTTCATGGTTTCCGCTATATTCATTCTTCCATGGCGGGGCGACACGCCAAAATTGATCCTGCCACGGCTACATTACAGCTTCTCATTCAAAACATTGTCGTGTTTTTTTAAATAGCGGGTGATAATCGCATCAAAACGTAATAGGGTAAATGAATTATATTAGAACAAACTTTTCTGTAACCGCAGTAGTGCTGTTTGTTTAACTCTTTAAGGTTACGTGCTGACTGACTGGCTGATGCGTGAAGCCAGCAAACACGATGTAAAGCCGTTTCACTGTACTTCAGAACACATTAATGTCACTCTGTAGGTCTATTAGAGACTTTCATAAATATTCCTAGCAAATGTAATAAATGTTGGAGACATACTTGTTACATAAACGCACTGAATCACAGCGTTTATTTGAGAGTGCACAAGAACATGCGCTTGAGCAGCGTATATTTGAGGGGGTGTTCAAGAAGTTTTGTGCATGAGCAGAAGAAATCGGCGCACAAGCAAAGAGATTCACATGCTGCAGGCTATTACATAGGCCTAAATGCGATCTTGAATTGTAATTCTGCACTCACGACATTTGTCATTGAAATAACGCCACAGGTAGTTAGTAGATCTGAGTAAAAAGAGCCTGCGGCCATAGCTGGAAAAAATCCTAGATGAAACACTGCACTTGGTTCAATTGCCTGAACCGTACCCAAGTTCGATTGTCCCCCTTTGCCACCTTCTCGGTTGGTTTGTGTTCACATTGTCTTTTTTTCTTCTGAACCCTGGTACGCTTGCATCATCAAACAGCTGTTTTGTGTACAGCGGTTGCTAGGTGACAGACACGAAAGAAAAGCACCAACATGGAAAGACGTCCGCATATCACGGTCATTCTGCTTTTACTCAAACGCACAGAAAGCGAATCGCGTCTATCTGCAGCAAAAATATTACAAACGTTCAGAACATCAAGTGAAGCTGTTTTTAGAGGAGACAAGCAGACATTATCACTGTGTTTGCACTGGCTCAGTCCTACCTGTCCCCAAAGTACAGTACGAGATACACAGACACACACATACACATGAATGAACATTATAAAAACGATAGTTTGTTGTAGTGTTAGTGGTTCATTCTGTTATTTGGTAGGATTGCATTCACACCAGAAGTGAATCGGACCAGAGTTTGCGTGAACTGTCCCCCAGAACACCTCTTTCAGGCAGACTCGGATATGGTTTGTGGATGCGCACCCGAGTTCAGAAGACAATTTCACACTAGCTAAACGTACCGTACTCTGACGTCAAACGAACCTAGGTGCAGACCAAAAGGGCTAGTGTGAAAGCACCTTAACTCTGGCTTGCTCTGTTAGACAATTCATTTGAATAAGTGTGAACATTATTGTCCAAACTTCTGGGAACCTAATAAGTACACAGAAACTGCTGAAGAGATGAGTCTTGACCCGGTTTCAAATAAAACTGGTGCAGTTTAACTGAAATATGAATCTTACACTGACCAAATATTTTTCAGCAAACCCAAAATTGGACAGAAGCATGTTGCACCATTTGTATGTGCGAAAGAACTGCTAGTGCTCTTTTGACTTATTTAGACAATTTCTTATCAGCTGATTAAAAGATTACAGCATTATTTTATATGTTCATATAATGTCTTATTTGTTATATGCTCTTTTGTCTTAAAATATATGCCATAAATGCCTTTTTTTTTAGGATTTTGGTCAACAGCAGGGGTCTCAAACTCAATTTACCTGGGGGCCGCAGGACGCAAAGTCTGGGTGAGGCTGGGCCGCATAAGGGATTTCACAAAAAAAAGTCCTCAAATGTCATTATTAACAGTTTTAATTATTTCTTCTGAACATGAAGTTTCCTGAACATTAATAGAACATTGAGTGAAGATTATGAACAGTTCTTCTGAACATGGCATCTTTTGCCTACTCCTTGCTGCCAGAGACTTGACAGCGCTTCTTCTCACAAATCTGAACCACATTTGGCTTTAGAGCGGAAGCAGTTGAGACCCTCAGTATGGCTTGAAGATGATCATCATTAAGTCTAGACCTGTACTTTGACTTATTGAAGTTCAAGGTGGAGAATAACTTCTCACACACTTCTCACACACTCAAGACTTCCATTCCCTCACCTAAAAAAAAGGCGTATATATGTATAAATAAAACACCCCCACCCCACTCCAGTCACATCAGTCTGTGACAGTCTGTATCTACCTATAATATATATAAGATGCAGGCTGTAGCTAGGTAGGTGGCAGGCTGCAGATAGGTAGCTAAGTGGCAGGCAGGGGCGGGAACAGCTTACCTTGGTTCTGGCCTAACACTTCCCGCCCGTCACAGCGTCTAACAAAGGGGCGGGGTGCGTGGTGACGTCACCGGCATTCCCGCCCCTTTGTTTACACGGCGGGCGGGGAATGCCAGTGACCGCTGTGTACGGATAGAATCAGCGGAGCGGGGAGCGCTTTTACTCCACGCTCCGCTGATTCTGTCAGTGTACAGCGGTTGGCGCGGGCCACAAAATATTGCACTGAGGGCCGCAAATGGCCCGCGGGCCGCGAGTTTGAGACCTCTGGTCTACAGTGTGAACACTTTTTAAACCAGGACTAGACTAGGGCTGTGCGATATGGGCAAAAGAAACCTATCACGATTTTAACACACAGTGTGAATCTGAAACATATTTCCAAAGGAAAATAATTTGATCTTTTTCAAAGAACCTTAACATGTCTTTAAAAACGATAGGCTCTAAAACAGGCATAAGGCAAAAAAAAAAAAAAAAAAAGTGTAACAAATTGTCTCTAGTACAAACCTATGGAAAAACAAATAAATAGACTACTGTGTGTGTCTGTGTGCACGCACATCGTCAAACTCAAGTAAGGCTCTGATGTACTGCTTGACCACATATCAGTAGTTGCGTGTACTTTTCTACGAGTCCAGATTTTTTGCCATCCATAGATCACAGACCTCTTTGTGATGCTGCTGTGAAATAGGCCGGTCGCATATCGCGTCTTTTACATGCACAATTCCAATAGAGGCGTGCGCATATTAAAAGTGACACATGTGTGTATTCTAGGCTCACCCAGTTAAAAAAAAGTCTTTTCAGACAAACTTTCAATAAAATTTTTCAGAATAACGCACCGTGAGTTACGTAACAAGAGCTGATCGATCAGCTTCATTCTTTGTATAGAACACACACATTTCAGTAGACTAATTACCTCAGACAAAAGCAGAACACCCAAACATAGTGCTTTTGAATTTTCTCCATAAATAAATCTTGTGTCTAAGCTGCAGCAATGTTTTGTTAGTTTGCACATTGAATATGCTGAAGGAAACTACGTTCCTCGTGCTTTCCACCCGCTTTTAGAGGCAATATATGATTGACTTACAAATTACCTGTTTCTTTGATAGATCAGCCTTCCTGTTTCCAAAGCAATCCCACACCACAGTTGTTGGCTTTCTCCTGTGCTGAACTCATCATGCAGCCTATTTGTCATAAAGCTCAGTCTCCTGTTTAGAAGTGCATGATATGCACTTGCAAAGTTTCTTATAGTCAGTTAAATGTCTGTTGAAGGAGCAGTATCAACAGATATTTAGCAGACTGTCTACTAATACTCAAATGGACCATCAAAATAAAATGTTACCCACACTTTTTATATTGTATATTTATGTATTTGCATATATTATATCTCAATATGTCATCTATTAATTATTATCTCAATATGTTATCAAGTCCAACAATTATGACGACCCCCCCCCCCAGATATAAACCCAGAATTGCAATTAAAATCAATATAATTTAAGGTTTTTGAGATAAAAAGTCACAATCTATTTAACTATGGTAAAAACAAGCTTCAGCGTTCAATGTCTCCCTTATGAACATGTTTAAAAATGTTGGTGGTAATCAACAAAAAAACTGATGTTCGTGTTTTGTTTTTAGGTTCCAGGGTCAATGGAAAGATTGAATGCTTCCCGGCTGCCTCTTTCATGGCCACAGATTGATTTCCATGCCTCTGTGATGGTGACTGACACTTCACAAGTGCTCCAGCACAGTTTTATGGTGTCCAGTAACCCTTATGAAAAGATGCTTAACTCCACGCACTTTGACAAGGACCTTTGGCCAGCAATGACTGCCAATCTTAACCAAGAAGTCTTTGCTTTCTCTGCAGCGGACTCTCCGTCCTGGACAGCACCTTCTTCCCCCAGCGAGGGTCCTAGTTCTAGAAATAGGACCATGTAGCTTTTCCATCAATGTACTTGTAATTGTAACTACAGTATGTCGCCAAAAATACTTTCTTCAGAATTTCTTTAGAGAGCCAGTTAGGCAATTCTGTCCATTGCAGTTTCTAGCATGTAGTCGTTTCCAATGCACATGTAGTAAATCCACAAGAACATGTAAATATTTAGGCCAACAATGTAGGCAATATTTGATTAATCAGTATTATTGTACATATCCATATAGCCTATGTAGCTAACCTGAACTTTGCATAGGCATACTGTATGTACAGAACATATATTTTTCATCGAAATCTGTTCAGCTTGCTTGTGTCTGCTGCAGAATCAACCTCCTTGAGCTGTACACATGTAAATGCTATAATGTAACATGCCCTTAAAATTGTGTAGATGTGTATAGACACTGTTTATACCTCTGTAAATATTAACTCTGTCTGCATATGTGCATAAACTGGACAAGTAAATGAAAGACTGAAGTTTAGGTGAATCAGTGGTTTGGGGTGAGTAGTATCACATCACGGGTGGGTGAAAACACTAGAGCAATGATCATGACATGACTGTGAATTTCTCACCGTGTAAAGCAGCGATCACTAACTTCCCAATGCAACACACACATTATCGCATGCTAGAAAAGGAACAGCCCCCAACTGTGATGAGAAACGAGAGAACTTTAACAGACTGTACATTTCAGGTAAACAAGCCTGCAAGAGTGCCTTGAACTGCAACTGCGAACTGTGCTGCATATAAGCCAATATACCAAGGGTAAAGTTCACTGCTATTTATAATTTTCTGATACTAATTACTACATTCATTTTTGCCCACTTACAGTTTATGATCATTTCAACACTACTACAAATACTGGTATAACTCAGTTATAAGTGTCTTTTTGTTTTGAATGTGTGTGCATTCATAATTATTACATCCTCGGAAAACAAAATGCATTGGCCTAAACCAAAACCGCGATGTGGTTTAGCTGTTGTTTTGAGTCTTATTTTGCAGTGAAGGAAATCTGGCTGCAGCATAGCCTCACAATGCCATCTCTGCGTGCAGTCTGTATTATTGCTAATACTGGATTTGACTATTTAGGGTGTTTTAATAGACACCGCCTAAAGCTTTGAAACATATAAGATTATGTCTATCCTATATTATTAGCAGTTGTGTTTTGAAATGCTGTCATTACTTGTATACAACATGTTCTAGAAACAGTTAGTGTTTTCAGATGGTATTCAAAAGTTGGAGGTAGACATACTGTACGTGACATTAAATCTCTCCATGTGACAGTTTTGTTTTGTGGTAAATGGTGCTATTATGTTTCTAAATAGCATTCCCACTCATGATATGGTGATTGTAAATCTTATTTTAGTTTATATTTATATTTTTTTGTATTTTAGCTATGTAGCAGTGAACCAGATATACTGAAATAAAATAGAACGGGCTAGTGATATTTGGGTCACAAAATATTATGAAGGCATTTTATTTGTTAATTTATTAGGTAAACATGAATACACTATGAAATTGCATAACGAGATTACTCTTCTGTAAGGCTATGTAGGCCAAAAATTGTGGTGGATCTTGAATCTGAGCCATTTAACTTGACTTTCATTTCTAGTTTCCATTTGCAAATAAGTTATTTTTGGATGAGTGATTTTTGAAGAAATTTATCTTCAGAAATGTCAGCCTTGTACTTACAAACAAATAAGCGACGTGACATCGATGTAACGTTTCGAATCATCATAGAAAATATTGCATACCTTTACTGTATAACTTTTCCATACCACTATTTCAAAAGATTAAAGATACAATCAGCATTTGCATCGACTGGTTCATTTTTGTGTTTGTGCAAATGCTATAATATAGTAATGCTCATAAGTTGCTCAGATGCTGATGCTGTCATTCCACTATTAAAATTACAATTTAGAATATAACATTTACCCTATTTACTATGGTTCCTTTCATATTTTTCGCACACATACAGTACTTTTATGGTAACACTTTACAATAAGGTTTTATTGTTAATGGTAATAACCATCTTTTCTAATGTCGGTTAATGAAAATAAAGTTGTTCATTGTTAGTTCATGAACATGATTGTAGATTTTCAAGCATTAGAAATGTTGAACTATGATTAGTAAATGCTGTATAGTTCATTATTAGTTCATGTTAGACTATACATTAACTAATGTAACCAAGTATATTGTAAAGTGTGACCACTGCTACCCTGTTAAAAAAAAAAACAGTAAATGCTGGTAAGGTTTGTTTTGAAGCTGGTATGCTGGTGTTGCTGGTCTCAATGCTGATTTTGCTGGTCTCAATGCTGGTCTTGCTAGTTTTAGTGCTGGTCTCAATGCTCATCTTTCCTGTCTCAATGCGGGTTTTGCTGGTCTCAATGCTGGTCAGGACCAGCATTGAAACCAGCAAGACCAGCACTGAAACCAGCAAGACCAGCATCGAAACCAGCAAGACCAGCATTGAAACCAGCAAGGCCAGCATTTAAAACATACCTTAGCATAGCCTATAACTTTACTGTTTTTATTTCAGCAACTTGTCACGGGTGATTCACAGATTAAATTATGAAAAATCTGTATCAATATTGTTATTATTACTTTAGTTATTTTATCCATCTCAATAGATAGTTTTTTATTAACTTACCTTAGTGCGTTACAAATAATAATTTCCTCAGATTTTTCGTGAGACCGTCCACTGAATTGCAGCAACATTACAATGCGTATGTTATTATACAATATGTTTTTTAACGTTTCATCGATTTCCATAACGTTAGAGAGAAATAAATACAAATAACATTACCGTGACAGGATTTTACTTCATTTAACTTTAAAACTCACAAAATCCATTTTTAAGCTTATATTACTTTTTTAGGTGTGAAATGTACGTATCAGCCACAAAAGTTTTACCTTCTGTTATTATTCGACCAACCGTTAATGGCCGCCGCAGTGTTCCTCAGACAAAGCATAATAAAAGCCCCTATATTTATAATTTGTTTCCATTTCATATTTAATGGTTTCATATTTATTACAAAATTGTCTGTTTAATATTAAATTAATTATTATTATTATTAATATTTAAAGAATGTTGTCCGTTTCTTCAGAATTTCTTTCACGTTTGTATGTTTTAATATCTGCCATATAAGGGCATTTTAAGGGGGAAGTGTCTGTGCCTTGTTTTTCATAACCAATAGCTTCATTGCGCTTGCCAGAATGCCAGTGTTTAGTATTACTTTGCCATTTCATCTCAGGTCACCATGGACAAAGCTGCGCTGAGACTAACTTTATTTGGCCTTCTGTTCACCTGTGTCAACTTGGCTGCAGAAAAGGTAAAATCAATTAAGAAAAAATATATATATTATTTGGAAATATAGGCTACTAATTTTCATAACTCTACAAGCTGTTTTCTCAAATTTTGTAGATTAAATAGAAGTTAATTGTGAAAGGTAAACAGAATATGGACTAAAAGAAATTAATATTGAATATTGGATATTTTGGAAAGAGTTTAGAATGAATTTAACCATTCGTTATTATTACTTAAAAGATCTACAGTAAGTATTGACTTGGTAAATAATGACAAATGCAGACTCAACATGTGTAAATAACAGATCATGTTTGAGGAGAAAGTCCACATAAGTGGGATTGTTTTTGTGTTCTGATGTCAATATGCTTAACTTGGGTTCTTGCTGTTATTGCATAATGAGCACTGATATTTGTTCACTTTAATGCAGAAAAAAATAGACATTTACAGCTTCCACATCAACTGTACAGTCACCGGCCGCTACGCAACCACAGTCATCACAAGTCGTGTGGCAAATGTTTTGAATAAGTCTCAAGAGGTCAATTTTGAAGTCCAAATACCCAAGAATGCCTTCATTAGTCAGTTCAGAATGTAAGTAAATGTACAATTAATGTATAAACTGTTAAAACATTCACCCAGTAGTGATACCAAACTTTCTACTCACCTGTAAACAGCCAAACTTATGTATCTAATATGAATGAAACTATTAACAAATATAGAACATTGATTAATAGCCATGATCTGACTATATTCTTATGACAGTATGACACTTAAATTTTGAGCTTTTATCACTATATAGAGCTATAAGGGTATAATATCAGTAAAACATTTTTGTTTGTTGCTTTACGTATATATAGATGTTCAGAGTAAACAAATGTTTAAAAAATTGTACTGCAAAAGGTTTAAAAAGTACAGTAAGTCACACTTTACAGTAAGCAATAGCCAATACTGGTTTCATTCATTTTTCTTTGGCTTAGTCCCTTTAATTACCCTTAATTAAGTTTGTTAGTTAAAAATTCATTCATAAATGTATTCACAGTATTTTGAAGTGGCCGCGATAATATTGCTCATGTTCATCATTATAATAAATTCTATTATTGAATATCAGCACCTTTCTAGTTCTGTCTTAAAATAATATTTCCTGCTTTTAAATGCTAATAAATCTTATTTTTGCTCAGGACCATCGATGGGAGGACATATGATGCAATTGTGAAGGAAAAAGAGGAAGCTCAGCAGGAATACAGTCAAGCCGTATCGCGAGGAGAAAGTGCTGGATTGGTCAGGTGCTTGTAATTTTAAAACAGTAGCATTTTGATAAATGCTATTGTTAAATGTTTTGTTATTATCAATGCCATGGTCATAGGTTTGATTCTTAGGCATGAACTGATTACAAACATGCAGGGTGCGAATTACAGTGGGGTTTTCAGGGTAATCCCCCCCTTAATTAATGCTTGATTCCCACTGAATGACGTCAAAACAAAATGAATGTGGAGTTATCCCTTTAAATAGTGAGAAATACTATGGTCTTAATGCCTTAGTACAGTGACAGGGACTCTATACTGCTCAGTGAGTGCCGTCTTTCGGATTAGACGTTACACCAAGATCCTGACTCTGTGGTCATTAAAAATCCCAGGATGTCCTTTGAAAAAGAGTAGGGGTTTCACCCCTGCATCCTGACCAAATTTACCCACTAGCCTCTGTCTATCACTCTGTCTCCTCTCCACCAATCAGCTGGTGTGTGGTGTGCGGTCTGGCGCAAAATGGCTGCCGTCGCGTCATCCAGGTGGATGGGTAAAGTCTAGATCGGATATGCGGCCGGCCGGAAGTGCGATATGCACATTAATAAAGCAGCATTTTTTATGACACTGTATAACAATAATTAATATTTTTACAGGTTGGGTTTGGGGTTGGGGTGGGGGTAGGCGTTAAAAAATACATTTTATTGGGTAATTTAATAGATAACATAACTAATACTCGGTACAACTACAGTTTTTACATTACTGTGACGGTTGGGTTTAGGGTTGGGGTGGGGGTAGACGTTAATAAAATACAACAAATGAGAAATTTAATAAATAATAGAAATAATTCACGTTAACTTCCGGCCGCAAACGTATCCGCTCTAGCAACAACCAGGTGGATGCTGCACACTGTTGGTGGATGAGGGGATTCCCCCCCATTGTGTCAAGCACTTTGAGTGCCCAAAAAAGCGCTATATAAATGTAAGGAATTATATTCATATCACAGTAAAACAAAATATTTCAATGTCAGATTTTACCAATATCATGCAGCTTTTTTTGCCAATGTCTGTAAAATATAATAAAATGAAAATATCATGAGTTTCTTTAATATATAATAAAAGTAATCAAGATCAATGAAATGGGCTCTGTTTGCAGTGCTGTTGGACGGACTTTAGAGGAATTTAAAACATCAGTGACAGTGGCTGCAGACAGTAAAGTAACCTTTGAGTTGACCTACGAGGAACTTTTAAAGCGCCGTCTTGGCAAATATGAGCTGCTCATCAACGCCCAACCAATGCAGCCGGTGGCGGACTTTAAGGTGAGAAACCATACAAATATGAGTTTATGTTGAGAGTTCAGAAAAAAAGACTTGGAAAAGTAAAATTTGTGTCTTTCATGTGGGTTAGATTGACGTACACATTCATGAGAGCGCTGGAATTTCACTCTTGGAGGTCAAAGGTGGTCTGAACACTAAGGATCTGGCGAATGCAGTCACTACCACCAGAGCACAGCAAGATGTAAAGAATTAAAAATGATTTACATGAATAAAAAACAAAAGGTTTGCTGGGATGAAATTTGCTGTTGTTTTAGGCATGGGTGAAATTCTACCCCACTCGTGACCAGCAAAAGGATTGTGACGACTGTACTAAAAACGGTCTCAATGGCAACCTGGTCATTATGTATGATGTTGAAAGAGTAAAACAAAGTGGAGATTTCAAGGTATGTAGTGCATTTAAATTCAATCTGAGATCCAGAAAAATTTGATTACAACAATATTTACACTTACACTCATTTTCAGAAAGCGTTTGTTCAGACTAGTTGTTCAATTTTCTTGGTTTGTTTTAGTTTGGACAAAAAAAAAAAAAAAAAAGTCTTCACCTGGTTTAGAAGTACCATGTTATGTTTTCTTTTTCAGGTAGCAAATGGCTACTTTGTCCACTACTTCGCACCTACAGATGTTGAACGCATTCCCAAAAACGTGGTATTTATTATTGATCAAAGTGGTTCTATGCAAGGCAATAAAATAGAGCAGGTGAATTTCCATTTCCTTTATTTCTCAATGTGTTTACTTGCTGAATCATACAAACTGCATTTATTTTTGGCATACAGTACACTAATGGACTTCCTGTAGCTAATATGAGCCCTAAATTTTAGACTCGAATGGCAATGCTGAGGATTTTGAGTGACCTTGCTAAAGATGACTACTTCGGGTTGATCACGTTCAGCAGTCACATTGAAGCCTGGAAACCAGAACTACTGAAAGCGACTGCAGAAAATGTGGAAGAAGCAAAGACATTTGTGAAGCAAATTAGGAGTGGAGGAGGTAAAGATATCACCATGAGCTAATTGAACAGAAGTGTCCTAGATTAATAAATGGAAATGTTTAGAGAAAATGCCTTTAAAGGAGAAAACAATATACCAACTTAGACAATTCAGAGAACATTATTTCAGTGGTTTTATTATTTTTGCCTCTAAAGTGAATGAAAACAATCATTGGCATGTTAGAATTCCACCCCAATTGAATGAAATGATAATAATTTCACACATTTTCTTCCATTTCAGCTACAGACATAAATGGTGCTGTGCTAAATGCTGTAAACATGATCAACCAATACACACAAGAGGGATCCGCGTCCATCCTGATCCTGTTGACAGATGGAGACCCCACTTCAGGCACAAAATAACTGATTCATTTATATAGGCACTCTTGTATACAGATTAGGGTTCAGGTTAGGGCTGCGTTTTGAACATGGATGCAAACAAAACGAATGCAATACAACAAAAACATTTGGAAAACTCCATCTATTATACACTTCTACTGTGATTTACAATAGACTGACAACCTCTAAAATGTCATAAGGTGTAGCAATAATTGCTAACACTTTAGTTTAGGTCACAATTCAAAGTATTGACAAACCATTAACTAACACTGCTAGCTTAATAAACTACTCATTTAGATATTTAGTAATAGTAAGGTAGAAGTTGGGTTTAGGTTTTGGATTAGGGCTGCAGAATAAGATCATACTTACCCAATAATTTGTATACCAAAATACTTCTTTCAGATTTGTTTACATGAAGAATAATTTTGATGTGATTTAAGGATTATAGTTTAGACACAAAACAATCTTTAATTACCATTTTACAACCTTTATACTTTGCTGCTGGCATCTAAAACACTGGATTTTACCTATTTGTCAGTAAATTGTTTATAATGATTTAAGATATAATGTAATGGAATAAAATAATTTATTATTTTATATATTTTTATAAGTACAAGTCAGAATTAACATCGTTTATGTTCATTTAAACATAAATACTGTATATCTGAATGACAATTATTACACCCATATTTCAACATTTCTTTCAAAAAAGTTATGCTTTCTATGTATATATATATAATCACTTTTGTACATTTAATTTAACACAGACACCAAAATGTGTGCAGGATGACCAACTACATTAAATATTATAAATTAAGCAGTTTCTTTTTTTATTATAATTATGCATAAAAACTATTAATTGTAATTTATTTATCTGTGCAAAAAGGTGTGACCAACCCAGTGACGATTCAGCAAAATGTGAAAACGGCCATCGGTGGAAAATATCCTCTGTACTGTTTGGGTTTCGGGTTTAATGTCCGCTTTGAGTTTCTGGAAAAGATGTCATTGGAAAATAACGGCGCTGCTCGCAGAATTTATGAGGATTCTGATGCGGATCTTCAACTGCAGGTCAGATATAAACAAAGAAACACTGTTATTTTAATGTAGTTTACACATTTGAATTGCTTTATAAAAAATGGTCTCTGCTCCAGCAACTTTTAATGTTGAAAAGTTTACAAATTGACTTTTATTTATGATATATTTAGTAGTTTGAAACAATATAATGTCAGTGTAACGGAAGCCAGCTATTTAGTGCTGTGCAGGTAAACCTCACTTCTCTGACCTCTAAAGGTGCTCTAGCGACAGATGCTAGAGGTCATTAGCCTCCTTGGTAGAGCAACTGACTCCTATGCGGAAGGTCGCCGGTTTGATCCAAGCTGGGAGCGGATTTGGTGATGTAGGACTGGTGGGGGTTACACCTGTATTGGTCAGATAAGATATGGTAAAAAACTCTAATGAACTCTAGTACTTTTTGCTATTCTACTGTTTTATTTCTGTGCACTTTGTTATTTATTATAATCTTTGTTGTTTCAAACTATTGAAAATATCAAGAAAAGTAACTTTGTTAAATTGTAAAGTTATATTTTTAATATCAAAAGTTGCAACCCAGGCTCATTATGGATATATACTGTACCTCCGTCTACATTTCTGGAGAGCATGAAAAACTTCTTAGAATGTACGTTTTTTGTTGTTGTTGCAGTTTTTGTTTTTCCGAATCCACCAGAGGGTGCTGTGTATGCTTTATCAGATCTTCAATTTCTCTCTCGAATGCCATTCGTGCCTGGTCTTCTCGCATAAATCAACCAGAGGCCGCTGTTGACTGACTGACTGACTCACCCACCCCATCTCTAAACCCAACCAGCAGTGTTTTCAAAAGCAATGCAAAAAAAGAAAAAAGAAAAGCCCTCTCAGCTGCCTGCTTTTTTTTTTAGTAGTTAGTAGTTCGTACTACTTTTTCACCCTGTTTTTTAGTTCTTTATTTAATTTTTTGGGCTTTTGTTTTACCTACTTTCTAAAACCGTTCTTTGCCGGACTTGAACCCCGCTGTCTTGGTCAACTCCACTGACTTGTGCGGCAAGCTACTGGGCAAACTGGTTACAGCGCTAAGCTGGTATCGCGAAAAGGAACAGAAGCAGGCAGTGTCATACTGCCCCGTTGCATTCATTTTAAAGACATAATGCAGCCATACGTACCTCTGGCTACATAATTCGCGCTCTCCAAAATTATAAACAGGGGCACGTATTCACAACGAACCTGTGTTTAAAAGTTGTTATAGCTGAGATCAAGATCCCGTAAATCAATTTAAAATTGTAAAAATAAATAAAAGACTTATTCTGTTAATGACATACTAAACTGTTAATTAATGGATATTACTTACAGTGCCAAACTGGGTTTAAGTTCAGCTTTGGTCATTGTCCAGTTTGCTATTTGTTGTTACCAGCAGTACTGAACATCTAAACAAAACTACTAATACCAACACAGGCTCATTCTGAAAACATAGCCCTATATAAGTTTCTGGAGATCGCTAATTAGTCAGAAGTATGTATGGCTGCATTTCTTCTTAAAAACTAACTCTACGAGGCGGTATGACACCGTTTCTTTTATGGTTTACCTGCTAAACGCTTACCTGCATATGGACGGCTTTTCCACTGTGACCAGTTTGTCCAGTAGGTAGACATCAGCGAACTTGAGATGCAGAGCAAAGTTGACCGCAACCACGGGGTTCGAATTCGGTGAAGAATGGTTTCAGAAAGCAGGTAAAACAAAAGCAGAAGCCAAAAAATAAAATAAAACAAGTAAATAACTTAGTAAAATCTGAAACTGAAGTTAAAAACAGGCGAGGGCTTTGAGTTTAGGGAAGTGGGTCGGCTGGTCAATCTGTGCTTTTTAAAACACTAATGGTGTTTAGGGAAGGGGAAGGGTGGGGGATTGGACAGTTGGTCAGTTGACAGCAGCCTTTCATGGATTTATGTACGATCTGCAGGTACGAATGGCATTTGCAAGAGAAATTTGAGAGCTGAAGAATCATACATTGAGGATTCGAGAAAACAAAAAACAAAAAAATTTTGATCCTGAAATGTATTTTGCGCTCTCCAGAAATGTATATAGGGGTACGTAATCGGAATGAGCCTGGGTTGACTATTACTGCATAAATCCATATCTTTACTCATTTTATTTTGGCAGGGCTTTTATGAAGAAGTGGCCATTCCACTTTTGACCAATGTCCAGCTTAACTACCAAGGAGTGGCCAAAGTAACCCAAACCACTTTCAGCCAGTACTACAATGGATCTGAGATTGTGGTGGCCGGTTATATAACTGATAACAGTTTGGAAAGTTTGACGACTGAGGTCATTGCATTATCGGTAAGTTCACCACTTGTTGAATAACATTTAAAAGAATTGAGTCTGTCCAGAAAAAAAAAAATCTGTAATTATTTACACAACCTCATGTTATTCCAGCTGTTATTCAGTTGTAAGATAGCTTTGTTAAGGTTTTTACCGACAAGCACATGTGAATAAAAAATAAATGAATATTTTCTGTTAAAATTCACGATTAGAAAGGGTCAATAAATAATTACAGGATTTTTTAAATTTATTTGATTATTGTACAATTTCTGGTTCTTTTATATTGTGCTTTTTAAAAAATTGGACTTATATTAGCTTCCAGTCAATTTTTTCTACGCCATTCAGACTAATTTAAACAGACAAGATATAAATTAATTTAATATGTTGAAGCCATTTAGACTTATTTAAGCTTCCATTCCACATTTCAAACCATTTTAACCTCATACAGTATACTGTAATTCCTGTAAGCCATGTGTTAAATATGCTAACAGTGTAGGGTAATATATGGTGGTCATGCAAAATAAATGTTAATGCTTCTAAAACATGCTGACATTTAGAACAAATAACATACATTTACTCTATGACATGTTTCAAAACATACAAAAAGCATGCTAGCAATAAAACATGTTAGCAGTGTACTATGATGTGGTAGTAAAATGTTGAACATGCTAGTAATGTGCTAAGACATGCTAGCAATATTTAGGATCATCTACTGAAAATACTAAAATCAATGCTAGTAACATGGTTATTCATGTTAGTTCATTCATGTTTGCAAACCTGCATGTAATGTAGTAATATGCTTTAAGGAATTTTTAACCACCCTTCAAACATGCTAAATCATATTAGCATGTTTCAGGACTTAACAACATGCCTTGTTCTAAACAAATATGTATTGTCTACACTCTCATCATTAGCAATTATTGCTATTTTTTTTTTTCATTCTGCATTTTATGTACAGCACTTTTGGTCAGCCCTAGCTGTTTTAAAATTGCTCTACAAATTTATTAAACTGAACTTCAAGAGTTCACACTTAGCTGATGATTTACAATAAGCTTGCTTGGCATGCTGTCCCGGGAGAGAGCCAGGAGCTCAAGGAATCCTCAAGCCCAGGGCTCCCTCCCGTTCGTAGGGCGAGATGGAAGACTGAGCTCAGGTAGATCTCAAAAACTCCCCGGCTGATAAGGCTAAGGTGATTTCCTTTGAGAAGGAATAATAGTGATGCTGGGAGCTAGACTATAGTGCCCATTTGGCTTAGTTCACAAATTTAAACTATAAACTATTCATCAACCAACAATGTATAGTTAATTAGCCATATTTGTGATTAGATTTTGATATTAGCATGTGCAGTATGAGAGGGACATTTCATTATTCATGGGGGCCGCTGATGACATTAAAATCTTAATGGTTATAGACTAGGGATATAACGGTATCAGAATTTCACGGTACGGTAATACCTCGGTATGAATGTCACGGTACGGTATTTATTGAATCATTTACAGGAAAAAACAAAACTTATGAAAATACTCCAAAAAAGTGCAAAAAGTGTCAATGACATACAAATTAGCCATCTATCTGTAAGCTTTGAAACAGGAACTTCAATTTTAATAACAAAAAAATATTAAACCATGTAAAAAAATAAAGTTTCAATTTAGTATTGTTGAAAACTCATCACATTCAACATTTAATCACTCACTCACTTAGATAGAGATGGGTTTAAAGGAAAATTATCATATAAATATAATCTGGTAAAAGCTGGTATCTCTGGGCATTTACAATGTCCCCTGCAACAGAAAAAAAACCCTCTCATTTGGGACTGAGGTTTCTGGGACAAGAGAGATATGACTTGGCCCAGGTTGACAGCAGTGGGTAACGTTGTGCATTGTCTTTCCCCCACTTGAGAGGAAAAACCATGAGTGAGATAGAGGTCTCATGTCTGCATCAATCTGAACAGTGTGCTGTGTTTCTGCAGTCACCATGACTGATTATTAGTCCTATTCCCCAACTTGCAGGCACGTGCACACACAGGGCTCAACCTGTGCAGTGCACATGCCCTTTTTAGTCTTGGATAGAAAGTTCCCTTCCAAAATGATCAAAAGTGCCCCCGCGACGCGACATACCCTCCGTCCCGCTTTACAGTACGAACGCGACAACACAGCTGATCAGAACGCGCGCTACAACACAGCTGATAAGAACTCGCGCGACAACACCGCTATTCAGTACGCGCGCGGCGACAACACCCGCTTTAGAGTTTTCCAGCTCTTTTTCATCCCCGATTCTAGCAGAACACTCCATTTCCACATTACTGGATCTGTAGCGACAACAGACCACAAAGGATTATGGCCAAGCCTGGGCTGATGGGAATTGTAGTTTCCGGTACCTCCCGTTCGCTTCATTCGCCTGAGCAAATTTTCTTAGAAGACCTATAGTTTTACCGAGTCATGCGACTACGGTAATATCGAAAAAAATTAATATTGCGGTATGACGGTATTTACAATACCGTTACATCCCTATTATAGACAGATTTTACAACATATGATAGAAAATTTATAAAAAAACTATATTATTATTATAGCCTTCTTGGTATTGGTTGGACCCCCTAATTCCCTGGGGTCCTAAGCGGCTGCTTACCTCGCTTATTGGTTAAGTTTGCCCCTGAACACAGGGGAAACCTATGCAGACATGAGAGAACATGCAAACTATGTACAGAAACGCCAACCGGCTCAGCAAGGACCAGAGCTAGTGGTGTTCTTGCTGTGGGACAACAGTGCTAACCACTGGGCTGCCGTGCCAATCAATCTAGATGAAAAGGGGGAACAAAAGGGAAAGAAAGGGGGTTTCTTCTAGATAAAGATACTTGTGGAATGAAGAATGTGGCTATTTATAGTGACTTAGGAATCATATGATTGGAGGATCATGATTAGCTAATGCAGGACCGGCTGTGGTCAATCATAAGCACATGATCCTCTCGAAATTAGTTTATAAATAAACTTCACTAAGAAATATGCTAGAAACATGCTAGAGATAAAACATGCTAGCAATCAACTAGAATGTGCTAGCAGTGTGCTAAGATATGCTAGAAAGGTGTACATAGCAATCATCAAAGTTTCAACTTTTGACCTTTATTTTCGTTCTAGAAAAGCACTAAGGTGGTATATAATGACAGTGTACTCACAGACGATTTCGAAAATGACGGACTTGAACACGGCAACTACATTAGTAGATTATGGGCCTTTCTCACAGTGAAGCAGTTACTGGCGAAAACGTAACTATTCATACATATTCAATCATGCACAAATTGCAGCATTGCAGAGTTTTCATGGTTTCCTTTTCTACCTCAGCATGCTCCTAAAAGGCCAGGAAAAAGACAACGCAAAGAAAGAAGCCCTTGATCTTTCTCTCAAGTACAAATTTGTCACACCACTTACATCGATGGTGGTCACCAAGCCTCAGGGAGACGAAGTGCAGGTTGCGGTCAAACCCAATGAAGAAAAGAGACATTCATCAGGTGAACTGTGTTAGATGGAAATAAAAAGCAAAAAAACATTGCAGGATACTAATGAATATTACGCAATCCAGCAAAGATGCACACAGTCATTCATTTGGCTCTTAGCTAAAACGTTTGTCGTTGCATTATTTCATAAATTATGGAGTGCAGACATTTGGTCATTAACACCAAACTCAGGAAGAGCGCTGTAATTTATATTTGATTGAATATTATGCCATGAAATCTTACTAATGAGTAATGTTTCTCATGTTTAGGAAGGAAACAAACGTCCAAGGACAGCACTAGAATGCATTTAGCAGCCAGTCCAGGTATAAGCTATATTTGTATTTTTCCTGTATTTCCAAACACTCATCGAAAGGCTTATTTATAGACAACACAAACAGTTTAAAGTGTTTAAAACTGTCGTTCAAATTTTTATATGAACAAGATTGAAAAAGAAATTGAGCAAATGTGATTAATTCATCAACTTTTCATTCATCACACTCTAAAAAATGTTGAGTTATTTATTTAACCCAATGGTTGAGTTAAACATATTTGGTGCTTTGCTGGGTTATTTTTTAACCTTTATTAGGTTATTTATTAACAGCTCAACCAGTTAAGTATATATTTGGTGCTTTGTTGGGTTATTTTAAACCTTTATTTAGTTATAATAACTCAACCAGCTAAAATTTGAATTTCAACAATCAACTGATTTAACGGACACAAAACAGCTGTATTATGCACGCGTAATGTTGCTTTTGCGTTATAAAGTTTAAGCAATAACGCAATAATTTTGTTATATTTTAACAGATTACCTCCGTGTCATGCGTTTCATCATCCAAAACCATCTTTTAGAAGCGTTTAGATGTGGTTTACATTTACATTTTACATTTAGTCATTTAGCAGACGCTTTTATCCAAAGCGACTTACAAATGAGGACAAGGAAGCAATTTACACAACCAAGAGCAACAATGAATAAGTGCTATAGGCAAGTTTCAGGTCTGTAAAGTCTAAGAAGGGAAGTATTAGTGGTATTAGTTTTTATTTTTATTTTTATTTATTTTATTTTTTTTGGTACAGTTAGTGTGATATTCAGAGAGGCAATTGCAGATTGGGAAATGTAGTGGAGACTAAATAGTTGGGTTTTTAGTCGTTTCTTGAAAGTAGCGGTTTAAATGTATTGCACATTGTGGACACTGCGTGAAGCTGCTGCAGGTGCTGGACAGTCTCTACGGCACACAGCTCCATGTTCTGCACACGATTTTCTGCTTGCACAGTTTATAACTGTCTGCACTTTGTTGTTCATTGTTTGTGATTCTTGATTTATTTTAACAAAAGTGTCTGGAACTAAAATGTAATGGAAATTAAGCATTTTCAATATTTTTGAAAGCTGTATGTTATGTATTTATCCAGCCATAATTATAAAATTAATAGTAGTACTAGTAGTAATAGTAATGCTAGAATGAAAAAAAAAAACATTTAATTAAAATAAAATAACCCATAGTTGGGAAGGTGCTGTAATAACCTATAGTTGGGTTATATATTGGGGTATTTTTAACCCAGCTGTTTTAACAGAGCAGAGTATCCAGAAAAACATACTATATTCATTCATTCATTTTCCTCCTGCATAGTCCTTTATTTATCAGGGGTTACCACAGCGGAATGAACTGCCAACTATTCTGGCATATGTTTTTAAGCATCGAATATCCTTCCAACTGCAACCCAGTACTAGAAAGCACCCATACACTCTCGCATTCACACACACACTCACTCATACTACGCTCGATTTCATTCAGTCAGTCATTTTCCTTCAGCTTAGTCTCTATTTCAGAGGTCACCATAGCGGAATTAACCGCCAGCTTTTCCAGCGTATGTTTACACAGCAGATGCCCTTTCAGCTGCAACCCATTGCTGGAAAACACCCATAAACACTCATTTTCACATTTATACACTACAGCCAAAGTATTCAGTTCACCTATAGCGCATGTCTGTGGACTGTGGTGAAAAGCAAAGCACCCGGAGGAAACCGACGCCAACACGGGGAGAACATGCAAACTCCTCACAGAAATGTCAACTGGCCTAGCCAGGACTCAAAGCAGCAACTTTCTTGCTGTGAGGCGACAGTGCTAACCACTGTGCTGCCCAAAACATATTACAATTAACAAAAAATATGGAGCACAATTGTTTACAGCACTGAAAGAAGTAAGAAACGTGTCTTATTATCAATTAATACACAGGTTTAAGAAAAGAGGGTCATTAATGAATGATTTACATGTCATTTTGCAACCCATTAAGGGTAAGTTTAGATGAAAACTTCATATTCATAAACAGCATATTTATTAATTGATTCATTTTCTTGTCTGCTTAGTCCCTTTATTAATCAGGGGTCGCCACAGCGGAATGAACCGCCAACTTATCCAGCACATTTTTATGCAGCGGATGCCCTTCCAGCCGCAACCCAAAACTCTGGGAAACATCCACATACACATTCACACACACACACACACACACACACACACACACACACACACACACACACACACACACACACACACACACACACACACACACTCTCATACACTACGGACAATTTAGCCTACCCAATTCACCGGTACCGCATGCCTTTGGACTGTGGGGGAAACCAGAGCACCCAGAGGAAACCCACGCGAATGCACGGAGAACATGCAAACTTCACACAGAAACACCAACTTAGCCGAGGATCGAACCAGCAACCTACCTACTGCGCCACTGGGTTGCCAAACAGCGTATTAGAATTGTTTAAATCTTAGGGATGGCACGGTGGCTCAGTGGTTAGCACTGTCACCTTACAGCAAGAAGGTTGCTGCTTCGAGTCCTGACTGAACCAGATTGCATTTCTGTATGGAGTTTGCATGTTCTCCCCGTGTTCACGTGGGTTTCCTCCGGGTGCTCCGGTTTCCCCCACAGCACCAAGACATGCGGTACAAGTGAATTTGGTAAACAAAATTGGACTCAATGTATGAGTGTGTGTATAAATGTAAGTGTACGCGTGTAAGCCTGATTTGATTTCCGTGATCATCACAACTCACCCCACTGAGCGTGATTTCCGCGTCAAATCCCCAACATCAGCCCCCCTAATGATGCCTAAAAAATCAGCTTTGTCTAAGCAGCAATAACATCCATTTTAAATATCTTAAAATAATACATAATAATAATAGTCTCACTCTATCATTGTTTTTATGGTATTTTCATAATGAATGCGACATTGCAGTGCATAACACAGTTTTCTCAACACATTTCTCAATTGTACAAACTACAGTACAGAATAGAGTTGTAAAATGCACTTTTTTCATCTATAGCAATGCATTGTTTTCATTAGTTGGATGGTAATGTCTGCCTTTACTTTTCTACAGATAATATGCATTATTTTAAGACCCCTACAAGGCATCACCATGGTACTGTACATCACTTCCATTTCTGCTGCTTTAATTTGCCACATTGAAATCTCCACTCTGAGTTGTCTAATTTTGGTCTCATTATAGGTAGCAGAAACAAAATCGCCTCACAAAGACCCATTCAACATAGTCAGTTTGAGAAATCTGTGTGTTTATTAATGATAATGAGCATTGAATTAAATATTACAGGTGTTGTACTAAATCAGTTTTTTTATTCTAGGTTTCAGAAAGATTCCAATATTTGCACCTGATTATCATGACTTATTTGATGCTGGTACAACTTTACTTTATATTAACTGCCAATATGTACAGTTGAAGTCAAAACTATTCGCCATCTTGTGAATTTTGTTTACTTTTTCCAATATTTCCCAAATGATGTTTAACAAAGCGAGGAATTTTTCACAGTATTTCCAATAATATTTTTTCTTCTGGAGAAAGGCTTATTTGTTTTATTTCGGCTAGAATACAAGCAGCTTTTAATAAAAAAAAAATAAAAAAAAAACATTTTAAGGTCAATATTATTAGCCTCCTTAAGCAATATTTTAATAATTCTGACTTCAACTGTATATTTGTATAATAAATATATATCATTTATTGTATTTCATTTATTGATCTTATTTCTTTTTGCTCAGAATTAGGTATGTGGTACCAATTACCAAAAACAACTCAGAAACCTCTGGCAACCTCTCCTCCATGTACGTGGGATTTATTCATTTCATACATTGTTTTGTACGGTTACATCATATTGTGCTTTTCTTCCTCCCCTTTCTATCCTGCAGGGAAGAGCATTAGGATCTTGAAATCTTCTGGTAATGCTCAGCCTATTTGTTATGACGTTCCTTTTGCTCTTAATGTCAGACTTCAACAGAATGACCCAACAGGTGAGATATCCACCATTGTACCAGAGCTCAGTTTAATAAACAGTGATATTTTCTTTTATGCACATTCTAATTACACTGTTTGTCTTTACGCTTCAGAATTCTATATGAATGGGGAGCTTGAGGCGATGGGAGGGAAAGGTTTCAAACAAATTGACATTTCTTACAAAACGAATCACCAGCTTCGGCTCAGCGCTACTAAAATTGACTACTCTTATGGGTCGGAGTCAATGACGTTTTCTTGGGATCAAGAACTCACCCACCATGAGACAGAACAGTAATATTTCAACTATGAACAAATGCATATATTGTTTGCATATATTGTGCATGTATATATTGTCTGGCAACCCTCTTTAGTTTTATTAATATTATTAAGAGTAAATTATTTTAATTACTATAAGTCCTATTAGCACAGAGTGAAAAGTATGTATTATAGTTGTCATCACACCAATGGACTGTAATGTTGTGTTTTTTAAAGAAATAGTTCACTTAGAACTAACAATTGGACAAGATTTTGATGACTTTTTCTCAGTAAAACACAAAATATGACTTTTAGATGAAACTGAGTTCTTTGGTTGCTTATAAAATCCATGTCAATAGTTCCAGGCAACCTTTGAGAGTTAAAAACAATGTTTACAGGCTAAACAAAATTAATACTGACAACTACAGCAGGGAAAATAAGTATTGAACACGTCACTATTTTCCTCAGAAAACATAATTCTAAAGGTGCTGTTGACTTGAAATTTCCCCTGAGGTTGGTAACAACCAAAGAAATCCATATATGCAAAGAAAACAAATCTAATTAGTTTACAAATTACAAAAAAGTAATGTGTAAAAAAATTAAATGACGCTAGGAAAAAGTATTGAACACATGAAAAAAAAAAAAAAATACTAATACCACTAATACTTCCCTTTTTAGACTTTACAGACCTGAAACTTGCCTATAGCACTTATTCATTGTTGCTCTTATAGTTGTATAAATTGCTTCCTTGTCCTCATTTGTAAGTCGCTTTGGATAAAAGCGTCTGCTAAATGACTAAATGTAAATGTAAATACATGAAGAAAACAAGGTGTAGAAATGCAGTGAAAGCCCAGACAGCGGCTGAAATCTCTCAGTATTTCTTCATCAACCCGCTGCCCTTCCTCATTGTAAGTGAATATTAGCGGTTTCAGTCCAACATCTACATTAGCAGGATGATGAAGATGAAACCAGGGTGGACATTTCAGCAAGACAACGATCCAAAACACAGTCAAGGAAACTCTCAAATGTTTTCAGAGAAAGAAAATCAAGCTGTAGATTGGCCCAGCCGATCACCTGACTTGAATCCAATATAAAATACATATTAAAGATCAGATTTGACAGACGAGACCCACTAAACCATCAAGATATTTTACACTCTATTGAAGTCCGTGAAAAACTCACACCATGTGAGAAATGCATGTGACTTGATTCTCCACCTAAGAGGCAACTTTAAGTCTACTTTTTTGACTCTCAAAGTGCTAGAAGTCATTGACTTCTTTGTTATGAATTGCCACGAACCATGTTTTCAGCCACAAATTCTATGAAAAAAGTAGAATAGGCTTCTAGGAAAATTATTGCAATATTATTCCTGTTATTTTTGCTATAGTTATAAAATAACACTGTGGTTATTATAACTAATAAAAACGATTGTCTTTACTCTGTCCGCAGTGTATCTCTGGTTCTGAGGAGTAATGAAATGGACGTTACGATGGGAAACATGCGCATTGTCATTCTTCTTCATAAAGAAGATGGTAGTGTTTTTCTCTGGCCTGCAGTTCTTCAGCAGCCAAAAGATGTCAGTTCATCTGGCATTTTAGGTAAGAGAGTCACTAATCAAGCATTTACAGGTGAAGTCAGCTTTATTAGCCCTCCTGAATTATTAACCCCCCTGTATAGTTTTTTCCCACAATTTCTGTTTAACGGAGAGAAGATTTTTTCAACACATTTCTAAACATAATAGTTTTAATAGCTCATTTCTAATAACTGACTGATCTTTGCCATGATGACAGTAAATAATATTTGACTAGATATTTTTCAACTTGTATTCAGCTTAAAGTGACATTTAAAGGTCAAGCTAGGTTAATTAGGTTAACTAATCAAGTTAGGGTAATTAGGCAAGTCATTGTATAACAATGGTCTGTTCTGTAGAAAATTAAGGGGGCAAATAATATTGATCTTAAATGGTTTTAAAATATTAAAAACTGCTTTCATTCTAGCTAAAATAAAACATAAAAAGACTTTTTCCAAAAGAAAAAATATTATAGAAGATACTGTGAAAATTTCATTGCTCTGTTAAACATCATTTGGGAAATATTTGAAAAAGAAATCAAAAATTCACAGGAGGGCAAATCATTTTGACTTCAACTGTATATGTAGTGTATCAACCCATTAATTGTATGTTTGCATAAAAACAAGACCGTGTCAAACTCATAACCAATCACATGGATATATGAAAATAATTGCTGTATTGTGCATGTTTATGCATGCAAGGCGGAATATAGTACATTTACAGTATGGTCATTTTGTTAAAATGACAAAAAGGTAAAGAAACTGTTCATGTTTCCACACATACAACATGGTCCTGTTTACTGGCATTTGGTTTGTATTTACTCATTTCTATAGACTGAACACATGCTACACATACACAATGTCACTGTTTTCACAAAATCACATTTTTGTGGTTTACTTTTAAAGGATAATGGCATAGTTTTCAAAACATGCACTTTGAAATCAGTTTAAACTAAAAACTAAACTAAAGTTTTTAATATTTAGTTTAAAGGGGACCTATTATTCCCCTTTTTTAGAAGATTTAAAATAAGCGTTTGGTGTCCCTAGAGTGTGTTTGTGAAGATACAGTTCAAAATAGCTCACAAATAATGTTTTCTAACTCCTTGAAATTTCCCCTTTTAGTCTTTGATCATAATTGTGTCATTTTGGTGACTGTTTCTTTAAACTCAATTTAAATTGTGCTCCCAGACTTATTTTAAAAAGTGGGTGGAGCAACAAATGCCTATGCATTATCATAGGTGCAGATTAAAAACAGGACTAATGTTATCTCTGTGAAAAACTGAAACTAGATGTCTAAAGAAGTGGCTCAGAAGAAGGCAGTCTATCAGTGTTCATTGGTGGATCCTAAAATGTATAATGCCTCTTAGTTTTTATTATTATATTTAGAAGGAAATGTGTAGCTCTAATGATGGATAGCTGCTTCTCACTCAGGTCTGTTTATGCTAATGAGGGAGAGATCAATCTCTCATGGGTGGGGCTTTCCCCCAGTGATGACACGAACAAAGGGAGAATGTCAATCAAAGTGTTTTTGCAGACTGTTTTTATCAAGTGTGATCATAAAAAAAGGAATTCTTTTTTTACCATTAGAGGCTGACTATATTCACACTATTACCACACAACTGTGTTTAAACCCCCTATAATTTTTACATAACAAAAATTTGCACCTTTAAATTATTGTCATGTCATTGTACCTTATATCTTCTCTTTGTTGGCCTGTTAATGATGATATTGTGGGTATTTTACACCTGCACTAGTAACACTGGTCTGTAAATAAACTTTTAAGGAGAAGCTGAGGTTTCATATGAGGTGATTCTGGGATTGCAAACATCAATACTGAAGCTGAAGGACCAGGTAGTGAAGGCATCTTGGTAAGTAATAAATAAATAAATACAAAAATAAATATCGGGTGAAAATTAAGTAGCCTATAGGCATTAAACATTTTTATAAAATTCAAACTGTAATTGTCAAAAGGTTATAACAACATTTGTTTTTATGTTACTTTCGCTTATTTAAATAACTTAATCATGATTTAACATATTTTTGCTAGTTATGCACATTTTACCTTGATGCTTTAAGTGAGTTTAATTGATGTACATGGAAGTGACTAAAAGGTAATTTGATTTAACTTAAAAATTTAAGGCAGCAAAACATATTTATAGTGTACATTACTAACTATTAATAACCCTGGCTCATTCTGGAAACGTAGCCCCGCGGACGTTTCTGGAGACCGTGAAATACATCCCGGGAGGTACGTATTTGTGCAGTTTTTGTTTTCGCAAATCCAGGAAAGGCTGCTGTGCGCGATTTTTTCCGTGTCTCGAACACCCTTCGCGAGCACGCACCGTTCACGCCCTCCTCCTTCTTCCCTAAACCCAAGCAACGATTTACAAAAGCCGTCCAGAAAAATAAATGCTTGTTCGCTTTATTTTTTGGATTCTGTTTTTTTGTCTTACCTGATTTTTGGAACTGCTCTTCCCTGGACTCGAACCCGGTCATCGAACGTGGCCGGCTCCTGCTCCTCCGGGGCTCCGCTCCGCCGACGTAACCTGACGAGCTAACCGGACAAACTGGTTGCGGCGGGAAAGCCCTCCACACGGAGGAGGTGAGCCGTCAGCCGGCGAGCGCGAAGAGGAGCGGTGTCACACTGCCCCATACTGTAGTGTTCGCTTGAAAAAACGAAATGCAGCCATACGTCCCTCCGGCCACGTAAATCGCGGTCTCCAGAAACATCCACGGGGCTACGTTTTCTAAGCTTGAGTTGATTAAGCATAAGTGAGAATTGGTCCCCATACTAAAGATTTAATAGCACATCATAAAGCTCTCTAAATGTTTAAAAGACCACTTTCCCCCTTTATTTCTAGTAAATTATCAAAGCATAAGATGAATATTAAAATGTACAGCAGCACAATAGCGTCTTAAAGAAACAAATATTAGACATAAAACAATGGGATATTTAGTCTACACTCTCAGAAAAAAAGGTATACGGTTTATAAACAGTGTTCCTTATGTTAAGAAACAGTTTGGTACCTTTGTCAAAAAGTTATGTGGTACAGAAAAGACCTCTTATCAGACGTTCTGTACCTTTAATAGTACAATTGAAATGAAGATACACAAGTATTCTCATAAAAAGGTACAAAAGTGATGGACAACTCCTTTATTACAATATCTATGAAAATAAATATTTCTGAAGAGGCAAAGTGAATTTATGAATAATTTCCATATTAAAACATGAAGCATCATTTAAAAGCAAATGTTTAAAGAAACTCATAAACATTAATTATTAAGTTCCATGAAACAAAACAACTGATAAAACCAAACTATAGGTATTGTAAACTAAACATTTAAGGCATTTTTAATAAACATTTGGTAAGCATGTTCTGATAAATACATTTTTATTATTATTATTTACACCTTTTGGTTTTTGTTTTCCATTACGCACGTAAGCTGGCAAAAGTCCTGCATATGCAAAGTGTTCATGTTTCTATTTCTATTTTAAAATCAAGTAAATTAAATGAACATTTAAGTGATTAGAAAGGTGTTGTGTGAAAATTAGAGTGATTATTAGATTATTTTTCTCACAATGATGCATCTTGTACATTGTCTTGTTGTCTTTTTGGAGAAGCCTGTGTCATTTGCTATCAAAAATAAATAAATAAATAAATAAATAAATAAATAAATAAATAAATAAATAAACAAATAAATAAATAAATAAAATCACTGGTTAATTAAAATTAACTTTAAGTAGAAAAACTATTGTGAATGGGAGTATGTGTTTCTGTAACATTTTTGTGAAAAGTGTTGTGAAATGTTTAGCAAAATATATATATTTTGATTAATGCTGAAGTATTTTTTATTCTTTATTGTAAATGGAAAAGGTGCATTTACACAAAAAGAAATTTACATAAAAAATAATATATATATTTGATGTTTTATATTTTCTGAAAATAAATTGACACATGTTGGGTATAGCAAAATACCTTTAAATAGTTCTTGAAGGAACACATTTGACATTGTTTAAAGTACAAAGTGTCTTGTCCTGTGGTGGTACCTCAATGAATCACATTTGTACATTTCATGAAGGTACAATATTGTATATGCAGGTTTTAAAAACTAAAGGTACATTTTGGTTTCCCATGGTACAAATCAAGTCCCTAAAAGTACAAACTACAATAGTACAAATGTGTTTCTTTGTCTTAAGGTACAAAAAAGGTTCTGCCCCAATGACAAGGGTTTGTACCTTCTTTGTAATAACATTGTACCCCTTTTCTGAGAGTGTATTATAACTTAAGTGGCCAAAAGTATGCTTGGTATTACTATACTGTTGTTATGATTATTCGTGAAATGACACAATGACACAAAACATTATACTATGGTATTATGCATACATTATAATGAAGTAGGAATACCCTTATAATGCATTACAAATAAAGTCTTCATAGAAAGTGTTACTGAAATCTCTTATAATCACCAAGTCTAAGTTGATTTTTATTAAAAATATATTTATTTTCAATTTTCAATTTTTTTTACATGACGTTATCATTCCACAATTCTTCAGAAATTTGGTGCTCAGTTATTTAAACCTTCAAATTACAGTGGACATAAAGAGGAACTTCCATAAACCGCCATTTTTGCATGAATTTCTTATATAATATATTTAAAGTAGGTGTCCTCTGTTTATTTCAGGGTGACAATGAAGGACTACAGGCTTCCTGCTGCTCCTGTCATTGGATGTTGGCTTGTCCCGTTTGAAGCTGTCACGCAGAAGACGATCTCTGATTTTGCCATCACTCAGCCGTAGATTCAGCACAACTTACTACATCATTCATATCAAGCATTATCATCTGACCTAGTATCTAGTCTGTATTATGGTCACTGTTAATGTTTAAAAAGCTGTGAAATCTGCAGCATGCCTTAATAATGTGAAAAATATCACATTAATATGATATAAAATCTAACATTGCCTATAATTTTTTTTGCTTTAAATTTTTTTGCTGGTCGTTCAAACTACTCATTTAAAAATGTGATAAAACAGCAATTAGCATTACCTATAAAAGTAGTCATGTATACACAAAGTAACATTTTAATTGGTGCTGCTGATATGATTTTTAAAAATATGCATGTTTTGTGGTTCTGTCTGAAAATAAAAGCTTAGCACCAAACATCTAATGCAGAGCGTTTTCAAATTATTTAGATAATTCACAGTTGAAGTCGAATGTAAGTTGAAATGTTTTTTCTTTTTCAAAAATTTCTTAAGTGAAATTTATTGGAGCAAAGAAATGTTCACAGTATTTCCTATGATATTTTTTCTTCTAGTCCTGTCTGCTTTATTTTGTCATGAAGGAGTGGAGAGCAAGAGACCCCAGTGACAGATGAGTCTCCGCAATGCTTCTCAATGATGGACATGCAGTGTTCTCCAGCCTCCAGCGCCTAGACTCTGCACAAGAAGTTTGGCCAGAGGAGAAATGGTCACCTGGTTTCTCTTGAGGTTTTTCTTCCCTTTTACATCTATTGGTAAAGTTTTGTTCCTCGCCACTGGCTTGCTTGGTTTGGGACTTGTGAAGCGGCGCATCATTGGATTTGCTCTTCAGTGTTTGGACTTTCAGCAGTGAAAATTAAACCACACTGAACTGAACTAAACTGAACTTCAACTCTGAAAACTGGACTGATACAGTTTCAGTTTACTAGAACTTCTATCTTAAGCTGCTTTGGAACAATCTACATTGTAAAAGCGCTGTAGAAATAAAGATGAATTGAGTTGAATTTTATTTTGACTAGAATAAAAGCTTTTAAAATGTTTACATTTTATAAAACCATTTAAATGTCGATATTATTATCCCTCTTAAGCAATATTTATTTTCAGTTGTCTACAAAACAAACCATAGTAATACAATGATTTGCCTAATTTCCCTGCCTAATTAAACCAGTTACGTCTTAAATGTCACTTTAAGTGGTATAGAAGTATCTTGAAAGATATTTAGTAAATATTATGTGCTGTCATCATGGAAAACATAAAAGTGAGTTAAAAATCAGTTATCAGAAATGAGTTATTAAAACTATTCTGTTTAAAAAAGTGTTGAAAAAATCTTCTTTTCTTTATACAGAAATTGAGAAAAAAATTTACAGGAGGGCTAAAAACTCTGACACCATCTATGATTTTTTTAAAATATGCCTCATTATTGATTTCTGTGGGGTTCAAGAGCCTCTGATTGTAAACAGAAGGGGAGTTTTCTCAAGCGGGTCAATGATAGCCAATAGAATGACGTGGACATGAGTTTAAAAGCAGTGTGTGTTTCGAGTTGTGTTTTCTGTCATGGTCATGATGGATCGAGTTGCTTTCAGACTGATTCTCTTTGGTGCTTTTCTCATCTCAGCCACTTCAGCTCCTGTTGAGAAGGTGAGGGTCAAATTTAAATGAGGATGCAAAAGTGATTGATTTAAAGTAAAAGTAAATCAATTTTAATATAATAAAAAAATATATATTTCTGAAAAATCCTGTTTTATTCGAACATTTCTTATAACTTTTTCACATTGTGCTAACATTGATTGTTATTTATTTATTTATTTATTTATTTATTTATTTATTTAACCAGGAATGTCCCATTGAGATACAATATCTATTCTACCAGGGAGTACTGAACCAGACAAGATTGTTCAGAAATATCTATTAGGCGGCAAATCAGGATGTCATAAAAAATAAATTTCTTAAGGATCATGTGGCATTGAAATCAGGAGAAATGGATTCTGAAGATTCAGCTTTGCATCGTTTTTTAATGATATTTAAATTGTATGTCTACAGTCAAGTCCAAAAATATGCATATCCCTGGCAAATTTCTACTTAAAGTTAATTTTAATCAACCAGTGATTTTATTTATTTATTTATTTATTTATTTATTTATTTTTGATAGCAAATGACACAGACAGGCTTCTCCCAAAAAACAACAAGACAATGTACAAGATGCATCATTGTGAGAAAAATATATATATATATTGCTTTACATATTTCTCAGTTTTGATTTACATAAAAAAAAGATTTCTGAAGGATCATGTAGCATTGAAATCAGGAGAAATGGATTCTGAAAATTCAGCTTTGCATCATATGAAAAAATACATTTTTAATAATGTTTAAATGGTATGTGTACAGTCAAGCCTGAAATTATTCATATCCATGGCAAACTTTGATTTAAAGTTTTAACCAGTGATTTAATTCATTTATTTATTTTAAATTTTATTTTATTGTATTTTTGACAGAAACTGACACAGGTTTCTCCCAAAAGATAATAATTAGACAATGTGCATCATTTTGAAAAAAAATATATTCTTATATAAATATATATTACATTTTTAGTAATATTTAAATGGTATGTATACAATCAAGCCTGAAATTATGCATATCCGTGGTACAATTTTACTTTAATCAAACCATGATTTTATTTTATTTATTTATTTATTTATTTACTTATTTTTTACAGGTAATGACACAAAATATAGTAAGACAATCTACAAGATGCAAATCATTGAGGAAAAAAAATAAATTTCCTCAGATATGACTTACACTTGAACAAAATCTTTAATTGAGAATTTGCCTGGGGTATCGATAATTTCATGCTTGACTATATATAATTTGAACATTTCAGTAATATTTCACAAAATGTCTTCTGTTTTCAATAAAATAAGAGCAGTGATATTTATAGATTTAGTATTATTTGGCTTGCGATATACTCTGTCGAGATAGATAGCACTGTAATTTAATTTAGTCGTCAATAATCCCATGATTGATGTAAAGAAATGTTGTCTCGGTTAACAAACAGAGCTATCTATTGCCCAACAGTTTACACTGAGATGTACACATCAAAACTTATTTGCCTTTTAGTCCAAAGGCCTGTTATTTTCAAGCTGTAAATATTTGAGCAGTCCCACATAAAAAAGGAGGAGTACACATGCTCCAACCAATCACATGTTATACAGCAAGAGCATACTTTAATATGTGCTGTTTATCTTTTTACAGAAACAAAATGTGGATATATACAGTTTCTATATTAACTCCACGGTGTCCAGTCGCTACGCCACAACAATCATCACAAGCCGTGTGGCAAATAAACTGAGTGAGCCTCAAGAGATCCAGTTTGAGGTCAAGATTCCCAAGAATGCCTTCATCAGCAAGTTCAGAATGTGGGTAAACATGAGTACTGTTTTATACTGTAAGTAGAGATAAAGAGATGTTGTTTAGCTAGTGGGCCTCATGTCAGGTCAATCGGATAATGTAAGGCAAGTATATTTATATAGCACATTTCATACACAATGGTCATTCAAAGTGCTTTAGATAAACAAGAATAACAGAAACAAGTATTAGAAATTAAATTATTATTATTATAATATTATATTAATATAATATATATTATTAAATTATTATTAAATAAAAACCGCAAAGAATAAAAATGTTTAAAAACAGATTAAAATGTGTTAAAACCAGCCTGATCTCACGAGAAAACGTAAGTATTTTACGTTTTGCCAGTTTAGTGGCTAATTCGTACGAGTTCAGTCGTACGAAATGGTACGATTTTAAAAAGGAGGAGTGGCACCTGACCCCACCCCTAACCCCAACTGTCATTGGGGGATAAGCAAATCGTACTAAATTGTACGAATTAGATCGTACGAATTCATACGAATTAGCCTCTAAATGAAAAAGTTACGAATTGCTGTGAGATTGTGTTGGTTAAAACAGGTTTTAAAGGAATAAAAAAGAAAAGAAAGACATAATAGTGCAATCTGTGGGACGTAGCACAGTGCTCATTCAGTAAATGCACAGCTAAACAGATGTGTTTTCAGTCTTGATTTAAATGTGCCTAATGTTGGAGCACATCTGATCATTTCTGGAAGCTGATTCCAGCATGGGGGCGTAGTAGCTGTTTCACCCTGCTTTGAATGAACTCTTGGACTTTCTCATTTCTTTACTTGATCCTAATGACCTGAGTGATCTGTTAGATTTGTATTCAGTGAGCATATCTGTAATGTATTGAGGTCTGAGGCCATTTAGTGATTTATAGACAAGTAATAATACTTTAAAATCTACTCTGAATGTAGCTGGGGGCTGTTGTAAAGACCTGAGGACAGATGTGATGTGCTTTGATTTACCTGCTTCTGGTCAGAATTCTGGCTGCAGCGTTCTGGATGAGCTGCAACTGTCTGACTGTCTTTTTGGGAAGGCCAGTGAGGAGTCCATTACAGTAATCCACCCTGCTGCTGATAAAAGCATGAACGAATTTGTAGCCAGGAAAACAACCAGCATGTACTTTTTGAAGAGTTAGATGAAATAATATCTACAAAATAGGTTAAAAAACATTCACTTTTTAAAAATATGGATTTTTATTGACAGTGGTGGTTCTTTGAAGACCCTTTAAAATTGATAAAATCCATTGCAGAAAAAGGTAAACTATTCTTAAAATATGAAAAACCTTGTTATATTTAAATGTTGTTATGTTTATCTATTATATCTTATTATTTTAGGGCGTGATTACTGAAAGGTTATTTAGCAAAGTCAAAATAGTTCTTCTATAAAAATTGTTGCAAAAAATTTATTTTAAAAATGTTTATGATTCCATGAAGAATCTTTAACATTTACAAAACTTTCTATTTCACTTAAGGTTAGTAAAATGTTAAGTGTTAACTATATATATATATATATATATATATAT